AAGCTAGACTGGAGGGTGGAGCGCCAGGTGCCCTTTTGGCTGGAGCATCCTAAGTCCTGAGGAAAAAAAAAAAAAAAAAAAAAAAAAAAGCAAAGGGCAGCCCCAGCACTTCCCCTTTATCAGCTAAGGACCATCTTTATAGAAACATACATTTATTTAGTAGATAATAGCCTTACAACCCTGGGAAATGATACAAGTCCTGAGGCCAATGGAAAATATGTGTCAAAGTATTCACAAAGACTAAAACAGGCTTTTGTTTTCTTTGCAAATTGAGATACGCATTTCAATGGGCTGCTTGATAGAGCGGAATGCAGACCAGAGGCCAGCCTGCTAGCCCCTTTGATCTCAATTAACTCAGGAGCGGGCGCCCCCTCCTGGGCTACTCTGTTCAGGATTGTGGGCTCCCTCACTCTGTACCTGAGAATGGCAGAGCTGCCCTCTTCTGGTTGGCAACAGTCTTTGGCGTTTGCATGGGCAGGTGTGTGTGTTATTTCAAAGGGTGAGCTACGGGAGGGATGCTTGGTAACAGAAATGACAACCCAGTCGTGACGTATCTACCCACCCTGGGCGTGAGGTACTCAGCAAAGAGGAGTTCCCAGTGTTGTCCTGCAGGAACACTCATGCCATGTAATGGTGTGAAAGGCCAGGAATTAAAGCTGATGAGCAGCAGGACTTGGAGCAATGGACACACGGCTCACCAGGCAATCATCCTGTTATCTTATTTCATGAACTTTTTTTTTTTTTTTTTTTTTTTTTTTGAGACAGAGTTTTTCTATTTACTCCTGGCTGTTCTGGAAGTCGATGTGTGTAGACCAGGATGGCCTTGAACTTAGAGAGATCTGCCAGCCGCTGCCTCCCAAGTGCTGGGACTAGAGGTATGAGACAACATGCTTGTTAACCCACTGACCACAGTTAAGTTAGGCTAAAGAATTAGAGAACAGGGCATAGTGGTGCACACCTGTAATCCTAACACTTGGGAGGCAGAGGCAGGTGGCTCTCTGTGAGCCTGAAGTCAGCCTGGTCTACAAAGCAATTCCAAGACAGCTAAGGTTACACAGAGAAATCCTGCCATGAACAACAACAACAAAAACAAACAAACAAACAAACAAACTAGAGGGGGAAGCTGGGCACAGTGGCACACACCTGTAATCCCAGCACTCCAGGAGGCAAAGGAAGGCAGATCTCTCTGAGTTCCAGGCCAGCCTGGTCTAAAATTGAGCCCAAGATAGCCAAAGCTATACAGAGAAACCCTGTCTCAGGGGGAAAAAAATTAGAGGGAGCTGGAGAGATGGCTCAGCAGTTAAGAGTCTTTTGGCTGCTTTTCCAGAAGACTGGGCTTAATTCCCAGCACCCACATGGCAGCTCACAATTGTAACTCCAAATTCTGACACCCTCACACAAGCATACATGCAGGCAAAATACCAATGTACATAAAATATAAATTAATAAAAAACACACAAAGAATCAGAAAGAAGGTCAGATGTGACAGCACACATCTTTAATTCCAACACTCAGGAGGCAGAGACAGAGGCCTCTCTGTGAGTTCAAGGCTAGCCTGGTCTAAAAATAAGAAAAAAAAAAGGACCTTTGAGTTTAAATTTTAATGTTCCTCTGTGTTTCTCACAACAGAAATAATAATGCTATGATTAAGTACATTGGAAAAATACCAAGGTCCTGATACCATACAGAGAACAGCCAGTGACATTCACAGAAGACACAATACCAATGACAACACATCGATGTTCACTCTTGTTTCACCAGAATAAGTGGAAGGATCGCTTCTTTTTTGTATTTCTAAAGTTAGCTAGTTATAGTTAGTAAAAATGATCCTGCCAATCTGAAAACAATTTGCTGTTTGCTTTTCAGACAGGGTCATACATACCCTGGGTCATGACTCTGTGTGTAGCTGAGGCTGGTCTTCAGCCCATGATCCTTCAACCTGAACTGCTCAGTTGCTGGGATTACAGCTCTAGGACAGCATTTCTTCTTGATACCGTCACACTGAGCACTGAGATCTAACAGGCATTGGGGATTGCCACAGGCCAGATGGAATGGGCCTCCAATGCCAGGCTGTAACCTGGAGCAAGCAGAAATGTGAGACTCTGGAATAAAAGAGCATCGGCATCAGGGAGTTGTGGAAGAGCTGGCCAGCCACAGGTGAGGAGACTACAGGAAATGTCAGCCCCATTCGCCTTGGAGGGTGCCAGAGCAAGAGCCATTTCGAAGAGAGATTTGGCAGGGATACGGTAAACTGGGGAGGAGGAAGAAAGAGCAGTTAAAAACAAAATCAGCTCAGGTTTGGAAACAGAACCATCAAGTGAAAAAGATGGAGCAAAGAAAACAAGCAGGCAAATTTGCCCGTGGATTTGGGTTGTAGGAAAACTCATGTTAATTATGCTGTTGCCACTAGCCCTGGACCACACCATGTGTAATCTTTCCCGGCTCGCTCTGACAGGTTAACGCAGCAGCAGGGCATGTGCTGAGGTGCCTGAGAGGCAGCACCCCTCACTGAAAGCCTCAGGGAAGGGCCCTGGCATACTCACTCAGGGGGAATGTTCGCTCCATCCACAGGAAACTAGTGTTATGTCCAATTTAAGTCCTGCAATAAGCTGGATGCTTGAAAAATAGGTTCCCCATGAAGCACCAAGCCCATCACCTTGTGCTGATTTGTCAGCGCTCACTGGGCAATCCTGGAACATCTGAGTATTCCACTATGAATTAGCCCAACCGCATTCATGTTGGAGGAGGTGGCCTTTAAAGAGGTAGTATGGTAGCGTGAAATCATTAGGAAAGGCTCTAATCCACTATGTCTGTGTCCTTACAAGGACTGGAGATGAGGACACAGACATATACAGAGTGAACCCTTTGAGGCAGAAGACAAGAGGCCTTAAGAGCCACAACCTTGCACACACCTTGACTCTCAGCCTCTGTATCACAAGAACACATTTAAAAAAAAAAATTATCATGTATACAGTATTCTGTCTGCATGTATGCCTGCATAAAAAAAAGAGGGCATCAGATCTTATTTTAGGTTGCTGTGAACTGCCATGTGGTTGCTGCGAATTGAACTTAGAACCGCTGGAGGAGCAACCAGTGATGCTGAGACATCTCTCCAGTCCCAAGAGTAGAAAAATTTAAGCCAACAAGTCTGTGACACTTTGTTGTTGTAGCCCTAGCGAACAAATATACACTGTACAAATTTTATTGAAGCAAAAAAAAGAAGTGAACTGAGGGAAATAGGTGCTGGACTGGTTTGTGGGGAGAGCCCGACTCTACCACACATACCTGGGAAGAAGAGGATGCAAGGCTAAGGAGTGCATAGGAGGAAGGAGTGTGGGGAGGGTAAAGCAGCGAAGGAGTGTGGGGAGGGTAAAGCAGCGGGGTTACGTCTTCACTGCAGATTCCATGCAGGGCAAAGGGACTTAACACCTTTCACCTTTGTTGTGTGTTTGACACTTCTCAGTAATGAAGCAGTTGGGTGTACTTCCTGCTGAAATACAATACACCCCAGCTCTGAGCTGTGTTTTCTCTTTACAAGATGACATTCAGGGGAAAGTCTGTGCCAGGTAAAGATAACAGCAAGACGTTCCTTGCCCTCAAGACCTTGATAGGATGAGCCTTATAAACTACAATATAAAAGGGCTTTTTAAATTTTTTATTTTTCTGAGACATGGCCCCTCTACACAGCCTTGGCTGTCTTGGACCTTTAAAAGCATTCGAGGACAAGCTGACTGGGAATCCCTCAGCTGGTTGAGATCTCTTGCAAGTGGCTTCAGAACACGGGAACTATGCAGTACTCCAGATCCTTCAAATCCCTCACTTGCCATTTTGACTTTAAAATGTATTATTGTGTGTATGATGTTGGAGAGGACTCACATGTGGAGATCAAAGGACAATTTCACAGACTCAATTCTCTCCCTCCACCTTTACCTCAGTTCCTGGGATTGAACTCAAGGCACTCAGATTTGCTTGACAAGAGTCTTTACTTGCTGAGCCATCTCACCAAACCTTTCTTTACTATGTTTTGAGATCTCTTCCAAGTTCTTTTTTGTTTTGTTTTTTGAGACAGTGTTTCTCTGTGTTACAGAGCCCTGGCTGTCCTACACTCGCTTTGTAGACCAGGCTGGTCTCAAACTCACACAGATCCGCCTGCCTCTGCCTCCCTACTGCACGGTGTCTTCCAAGTTCTTTTAAAAATTCCTGTTAATATTCAATTGGGATTACACCGGCTTTGCAAGCTCATGAGAAGTTTGCATATTTATCGTGCTTCCTCTTCCCCAGGAAAGGACGCTTGCTAGTTTAGCTTCAAGTCCTGTGACATCGTGCAGTTTTGGAGTTTCCTACCTGTTGTGCACAAGATTTGCTAAATTTCCCAAGGGTTGCCTGGTATAGCCTAGATTGTGAACCGCACCTGTAGATCCAAAGGGCTGTGCCTGGGCTCCACTCTGCCAGAGCTCATCAACCTACCCAGACCAGTCACTGCCAGGAAACAGAGAGTCCTGGGGAGAACTTAGAGCTGAGGGGGCCAAGCATTCACCCTAGGAGGAGGGGAGGGCGCAGCTGGGTCGGAGCAAAGATTTCCTGGTGGCTCTCAACAACTTGACCCCTTCAGCAGTTCTCGCTGCTGCCTAGGCGTGCTTACTCGGCAGGCCCCTCCCACTACGCCCGCCCTCCAGGCCTCTCCCACAGCCCATTGTGCTAATCAATGCAGGCCCCACCATAACCCTGGGCCTGGCCACAAGCCCTTCCCACTACTTCGTTTCCAGATTCCTCTCTTTGAACGTCCGCGCCTTAGGCTCCGCCCACAGCTCTTGTCTTGGCCACGCCCCCAAGCTCCTCCCACACTTCTTGGTACTCTCCCTAGGCTCCGCCCACCGGCCTAGTCCGAGCCCTGGTGGCTAAGCCCCGCCCCTGCCCCAGGCTCCTCCCACGGCCCTCGTAGCGTCCCGGACGGCGCTCACCCCCCTCGGCCCCGCCCTCCTCGCCCGCCCGCCCGCAGGACCGGCCCCGCTGCGGGTTTGTGGCCCGCGAGGCCTACGGGCTCCGCGTTTGGAGCTTCGCTTCAGGCTGGCCGGAAGATCGGCGGTTCGGTCCCAGCGTACCGACGCTTCTTGAGTTCCTTTCTCGGTCCCGCGGCTGCGGCCGTTGGACGCGGCGCGGCCCGGGCGCGCGAGGCGAATCTGCCGCGACGAATCGGCGGGCGTGGCGCCGGCGGCCTCGCGAGAGTGCGGCACGGACGGAGGCGGCGCGACGGGCCTTGCGGACTGAGGGCCGCGGGCTGAGAGCGGGCAGCGGAGTGGCTGGGGGCCGGCCGGGCCCCGCGGCTCCGACATGACGGGCCGCGTATGCCGCAGCTGCGGCGGCACGGACATCGAGTTAGACGCGGCGCGCGGCGACGCGGTGTGCACGGCCTGCGGCTCGGTGCTCGAGGACAACATCATCGTGTCCGAGGTGCAGTTCGTGGAGAACAGCGGCGGAGGCTCGTCGGCGGTCGGCCAGTTCGTGTCACTGGACGGTGCGTCCTGCAGCTCGGGAAAACGGGGGCAGGCGGGGCTGAGTGTGCGAGATGAGTGGGAAGTCGAGGCAGGCAGGGAGACTGAAGCAGATCACGCTGCGACAGGCCGTGGGCAGGCGGACAGAGAAACTGAGGCAGGTCCAGGCCAGGAACTTGCAGCCAGCTCCCCGCCGTGTCCCGTACGCCGACGTGAGCTCCGCGATCTGCCCGGTGCAAAAGTCGCGGTCTGGTCCAATGGAGGCAGTTGAGCTGGGTCCCGGAATCTGGCAGGCATGGTTTTTAGGCTCGCATCTGATGCACGTTTCTTTTTTCCTGGTTGGACACTGACGGTAGGCATTGCCGTAAGGGCTATGAAATAGATATGCCCAGCCTCAATTCTCTGCCCAGTCGCCGGAGACCTTATTATTTTGTAATTAGGATTTGTTTTCTAACCGTAGAGTGTCGAGAGGCTTTGGTGCGTTGTACTTCCAAGTCCTTCTTTGGATATATGATTCAGAAAGCAGAAGTTGTTCATTTGACCAAAGGTTTTACATTTTGAAACATTTCAGTTTGTCGTTTTTTTCTTTCTTGAATTTTCTTTTGTCATGAATCTGAAATGGCTTTGTTTGGGTCACCACATTTGTCTTCTAAAAGTTATTTTTTATATTTTTATGTAGCTTTGTTTTTATTTTCTCAATGCTGGTTATCTAACCTAGGGCCTCTGGCATACTGAGCAGCTCCCAAATCCGTATATCAGTGGAAGCATATGCCACATTGTGAGTTAAGCCTCGAGGAAAGAGTGATGTACAGGTTGAGGTTCCTTTCTTGCTTGTGGAGGTCTTGTGTTCCATACAGTTTGCTGAAAGGGATTCTTCTTTCTTTTTTTTTTCTCTCTCTCTCTCTTTCTCTCTCTCTCTCTCTTTCTTTCTCTCTCTCTTTCTTTCTTCTTTTTTTTTTTTTGCATGGAGTTGCCATTGTTCCTTCAGCAAGAGATTGTTGTATGCCACCTGGGTCTGCTTCTGGGTTCTGTCTTGCATCCATCCTTACATTGTGTTTATATTTTAATGTCTTGAGATTAGATATTGTGAGCTGTACAGCTTTTGTCTTCCTTTTTATTTAGACTTGTAGATTTGTAATCACTTCCCCCTCAGGGGTAGAGTACCTATGTATTAGCATAGTCATATGTGTTGTGTGTGTGGTTCTCAGACTTGCTCATGATAAGCAAGTATTCTGCCACTGAGTTCTTTACTCCTAGCCCTATTTTTACATTTCATTTTGAGTCAAGGTTTTGCCAAAGTTGTCCAGGCTGGATTTGAGTTTAAACAGTAGCCCAGGGAGACATTGAATTTGAAGTCCTCCAGCCTCAGCCTACTAAATGCTGGGATTATAAGCATGCATCACCATGCCCTGTGTGGCTGATTGTGTCTGTGTGTGTTGTAGTGTTTGTATGTGTATGGGTTCACATGCATGTGCAGGCACGTGAGTGAGTAGGCCCAAAGTTGGCTTTGGGAATTGTCTTCCTTATTAATTCTACACTTTATTTATTGAGAAAGAGTCTCTTGCTGACCTTGGAGCTCACTGATTCTGGCTACTCTAGCTAGCCAGTTTGCCCAAGGGATTCCCACTCTCAGCCTCCCAATTGGTGGGGTTATAGGTGGCTGGGTTCTGGGACTCTGAACTTTGGTCATGCCTGCAGAGCAAGCATTTAATCTACTGGACCATCTCCTCAACTCCTGTGGCAGATTCTCGAATCTGCTGTGAGTTCCAGAAGTAAGCCCTTTCGGAGTATTTTCCTTTGGACGTTCTTGTGGATTTCCATCTCTGTTTACTTGGGATATTGGTCTGTAGTTGAACATCCTTAGATGGCAAGGTAATACATTCCAGAGACAACTGAGCAATGTCCCAGTTACTTTCTGGAAGGAACTGTGTACAAACAATGCACTCTGTTCATTTTCTCTTTCTTAGTTTCACTGTGTAACTTAAGCTGACCTTGAACTCATGATGCTCCTGCTTCAGCCTTCTGCATAGCCAAGATTACAGGTGTGTCCTACCACTCATTGTATCCTTTCTTAAATATTAGGTAGAATTCTACAATGTAGCCACTGGATTTAGGGTTTCATTGTTCTCTGTCTGCAAGGGGCTGTAGCGACACCCTTTTCCTTTGGGATGTTGGTGTTTTGTGTTTCCCTTTTGCCTTTCTTCTTGGTTTACCAGTTTTGTTTTTTTTTGTTTGTTTGTTTTTTTTTTCAAAATTTTGACTTGGGGTTGACTTTTCCTTTCTGTCTTTCTGTCCCTGTGGTATGTTTCACATGTCACACAAGTTCTTCCTCTCTGTAGGAGACTTCCCAAGGATGCCTTCAGGACTGCTGTGACAGTGGTTCTACCACACATTGTCTACTGCCTCCTAGGTAGTTGCTAAGATGTTGATGCCTGTGGGAGAGAGAACAACGGTAATAACAGGTCATGTGGGACCTTTCTTCTCCATGGGAAGCATTTTCCTAGGTGCATCCATGGTTTGGTGATAATGGGTTATGTTTAGTCTCATAACACCAGGGAAAATAGTGTGGAGCCAGGGTGGAGTGAGGTCTCACCATGCATCCTAGGAAAGCATGCTCAGAGGCATTGAGCAGAAGCTCAGATGGGCTCTTAGGTGGCATCAGAATATCTCCCCAGGGAGAGACACTCCAGCAACCAGCCGTGGATGCTGTAGGGAATGCATTGTGGGGCCATTACCCTTAGCCTTGGTAGAAGGTACAGGTTATACAGGAGGGAGCTGTCCCCTGCTTTGAACAGCCATCTTTCATGTGGCCACCTGCCTACTCCCCTGCTCCCTAATCAGCATGACCACATTTTTAAAGGCCTTTTCAAGTAGCCTGTGCAAAGGGAAGTAGTGGGCATCAGGACTGCAGGCTTAGATGCCAAAAGCAAGACAGTGGATAGCTGGAGAAGCTGGAATTTGAGCCACACCGTGAGAGTCTGGGGTTTATGAGCAAGGATGGCAGGGGCAAAGCAAGGTTTCCCCATAGCACACACTCCCCAGCCAGTGTCATGGTCCTCTGAGGCCTCCCTTTGTCAGTGGACGGTGACCTCTGTGCATCTGTATCCCTCCCGAGACTTGGAACTACCCTCAGAGTGCTTGCCTCCTCAGGTTCATTCTCCCCTATACTGGGAGCAGCAAACCTTGTTGGTAGGCTGGGAATAGTCCCTGAGGGTCTGTTAATCAGATTGCTTATGGTGTTACTGGTGGAACCCAGGGCCTCCCCAGCCCACTAGTCAGAACTTAAAATGTTTATTACATTTATTTATATGTGTACATACATGCCACTCAGTGTACGTACAGAATTCAGTGGAGAACTTACAGAAGTTGGTTCTCAAGTTCTCTCTTTCCACCATGTTAGGCTCTTGGGGATCAAACTCAGTGGTCAGGCTTGGTAGGAAGCTCCTTTACTGCTGAGCCATCTCACCTGCCTTAGAACGTTTTCTTTCTCTCTTTCTTTCTTTCTTTCTTTCTTTCTTTCTTTCTTTCTTTCCTTTTTTTCCTTTCCTTTCTTTCTTTTTTTTGAGGCGGGGTCTTGCTTTGTATCCCAGGCTGGTCTCAGAGTCACTAGCTTTCAATGCCAAACCAATAGAGTTGTAAAAACTTTCTATTCTGAGACTGTGAGAAAAATGAAGGACAGTGCGATGGGTTGTCCCTCCTGGGCACTGAAGTCTCTTGGCCCTCCTCCTAGGTCTGGCCCAGCTGTGAGGGTGGCATTGTCTGTTCTGAAGCTTGTCCAGTCTGTTTGTACCCACGATGTCTTGGGCTCACCCCTCTGTGCCCTTTGCTAAATCAGAGGCTCTTCCCCAAGTGGCCTGTGATTGTGTGTCCCTTCCCCCTTGTCCATTGGAGGCCAGAGTCTTCCAAGTCCATCTGTGCTCTACTTCCAGCCTATATATTTTGTTATAGAAACTTGTAGAAAATAGCAAATGTTTGCTGGGCGAAGTGGTGCTTATCTGTAATCCTAGCGTTGGGAGGCAGAGTTCTAGGCTAGCCTGTGCTATGTAGTGTGATCTTGTCTGGAAGGACAGAAAGAGAGGCAAAATGCTCCGTGTTTGTAGAGTGTAGTCCATCTGAAGTTTGAAGGTCTAGGTGAATGTATGGTTTGTGGTTTCTAGAGGTCATATTTGGCCTTTCTTCTTTCACACTTGAGCTAGCACCCGGTGTGACTTTTACTGAGTAAGCACTTTTCACACCGTGTTTCCTTTTGCTGCACACACACGGAGGGGTAGCAGGAGCAAGAGTCAGAAGGCAGATCCTAGAGCCGGTGCAGGTAGAACTGCCCAAGCCAGAGTGTGGGGGTCCCAACATGGAGGTGGGGTGTGCCTGTGGAGGTGGCAGTGATTGGTGTCTGCGTGTGCTCTGTGCATCTGGAGTGGAGGAATGCAAAGACTGCAGTAAGCATTCAATTCAAATGGAATGCTTTGGGGGGGTGGGGGTTGGAGACAACAGGAGAGTGAGGCAAGGTCTTGCTGTGTGTCTCACGTTGGCCTGCAGCTCTTGATCCATGTGCCGTAGCCGCCTGATAACAGACCTGTGCCACCATGCCCAGTCTGGCTAATGCCACCATTCTTTTTAAGTGTAACGTAAATTTTTTTTAAGATCTTATTTTTGTTATTCTCAGCTGTGCGCGCACATTAGTGCAGGTACCCACATTGGCCACGGGTCAGTTCCCTGGAACTGGAGTCACAGGCAGTTGAGAATCATCTGACTGGGAATGTTGGGTCCTCTTTAAGAGCAGTGCTGCTGACCCATCTCTCTAGATCCCATGATTGACTTGTATTTAAAGCACATGTCTTGGTGCTGGTCAGCAGTGGCACGTGCCTGTAATCCCAGCACTCGGGAGGCAGAGGCAAGCAGATCCACGTGAGTGTGAAGCCAGCCTTGTCTACAAAGCGAGTCTAGGGCAGCCAGGGTTACACAGAGAAACCCTGTTTCGAGAAACAAACAAAAAAGTGCATATCCACTTCAATTAGAGCAATAGCGTATTTTTTCTCGTTCTTTTTTAAGATTACGTTTATTTGGGGAAGGTGTCATGGTGTATGTGTGAAGACAACTTGTAGAATCAGTTCTCCCCTTATGCTGCCTGGGTCCCAGTCAGCAGGCTTGGAGACAAGCGCTCTTAGCTACTTAGTCATTTCATCAGCCCTACTGTTTTCTTTTTTAAAGGTTTGGGATGCCTTTGGTCAAGGCCACATCTGATGGCCAGGCAGAGCAAAGTTACTTAGCTGCTGCTTTTCCCTGTCGGAAGCTGGGTTCTGCTTTGTTCACAGTCAATGAAAGGGGCTGTGGGGCTTCTCTACCAGGCTCTGGCTAACTTCTCTCTTTTTATTTCCAGGTGCTGGCAAAACCCCAACCCTAGGCGGTGGCTTTCATGTGAACTTGGGAAAGGAATCAAGAGCACAGACCCTACAGAATGGTACTGCCCGCTTTAATGCTGCTGGTCGTGGGGTGGGACAGGAGAGGGAGATGGGGCAGGATTCTTGGGGTGAGGGTAACAGCTGACCAGTCTTCAGTGACTGCATCTGCTCTGCAATGCGTGCACACTCTGTCCTGCCCCATGTCTTACCCTATGGCCTGCCTCTTTTTGCCACCCTTATAGCCCAGGGCCAGTAACACCAGGGAAGAATGGTTCCTGAGTGTATCCTCTCTTCTAGGCATTCTGCAGACCTTGTTAGGTCCGCATCAGTGAAGGGACCTCAGATGGTATCAGCCTAAAGCTGTTTGTTCCTGGTCCTCTGGAGATAAGCATAGAACCAGCAAGTTTCTAACAGTTTGATCTGTTAGAAGTGACATTTTATTGTTGCATAAAAATGTCAGAGTAGAAAAATATCTGTTGTGATCCTTTGCTTGTTTTTAATTAGGTTTTTGCCTTTATTGACTGAAAAGTTCTTTATATATTTTAGCTCTAAGGTTTTTTGTTTTATTTTTTATTCATTTACTTGTTTTTAATTTTTTAAGATTTATTTATTTTATGTATATGAGTGTTCTATCTGCATGTACACCTGCATTGGATCTCATTATAGATGGGTGTGAGCCACCATGTGGGTGCTGGGAATTGAACTCAGGACCCCTTGGAGGAAGAGCAGTTGGTGCTCTTAACCTCTGAGCCATCTCTCCAACTCCCATTTTATTTTATTTTTTTTTTTTTGAGATAGTCTCTCTATGTAGCCTTGGCTGTCCTGGAACTCTCTATGTAGATCAGGCTGGCCCAGTACTCAACAGAGATCTACCTGTCTCTGCCTCTCAAGTTCTGGGATTAAGGGTGTGCACCAACACACTTGGTTTTAGCTATAAGTCTTTAAAAGTGTGCGTATAGGAGCTGGAGAGATGGCTCAGTGGTTAAGCGTACTGACTGTTCTTCCAGAAGACCCAGGTTCAAATCCTAGCACCCACATGGCAGTTCGCAGCTGTCTGTAACTCTGAGATCTGACACCATTTTGTGTACATACCCAGCATTTGTGTGGAAAAGATGGTATTTTCCCAGTTGACACCCTCCCTTGTTGAAAATCATTTCCAGACCCTTCGTTCTGTTGTGCTTGTCTTATGTGTTATGCTGTTTGGTTACTAGCTTTGTGGTAAGTTTGAAAATGGGAGGAGTGTATACTTAAAATGCTTTCTTAGGAGTGCTGGGTTGATTATTCTGAGTCTCTTGAATTCATCTATGTTGCTTACTTTCTTCCCCCTTTCTTCCCTTTTTTAAAAATTTTCCTTTTTTTTTTTTTCAAGATTATTATATATAATGCATGTACACATGCATACCAGTAGAAGGCACCAGATTTCATGGTTGTGAGCCATGATGTGGTAGCTGGGAAATGAACTCAGAACCTTTGGAAGAACAGCCAGTGCTCTTAACCTCTGAGCCATCTCTCCAGCCCCTTTTACCTCCGTTTTGAGACAGAGTCTTGCTCTGTAGCCTAAGCTGGCCTACAGCTCATGATGCCCTTTGCCTTACTCAGTTCTGGGTTTACAAGGCCTGTCCTACCATATCCCTTGAATTTCAGTAGAATTTTACAGTCTGTGTCCAATTTCTGTGAGGAAATAAGCTGGGGTTTGAGAGGATTATCTTAATCTGTAGAGATTCTTGTGGGGAATATGGTTACTTGAATGGCACTGAGTCTTCTGGGCTTGACTTTTCATTGATTTGAGTCTTTAGAGTTTCAGTTTTGGAGTTATTTTGTTAACTTTCCAAAGGGAAACCTGCCAAGACTCTGGTTGGGGTTACATTGAATCTGTAGATCAAGTTATAGGAGCTTATTATGTTGGTCTAAAACCATGAACTTGTACAGTTTCTTATTTTAGCAGTCACACAGGCTATGGCAGACATTATTAGTCCTTGCTTCCCACCTTTGTTCTCAATTATTTCCAAAGCTGTGCTGCATTGTTGTCATATGTTGCTAGGCTCCCCAGAATTGCTGAGAATGGGTAGGCTTGACTCATTGCTGACCTCAGTGTAACAGGGTCAGTGTTTTCCTCTTGGGAGTGATGCCAGTAATCATGCCATTTGATGCTTTGTATCTGCTACAGTGATCATATATGGATTCTGTTTATAGGACACTGGCAAGCCCTAGCCTGGGGTTGTGGGTCTTTAGAATAGGTCTAGCCTTGAACAAGGGATCCTAGAGAAGAACTGTCCTACTTGCATTGTGAATTTAGATAGCTGGTGGGTTTCAGGCTCAAGCTCAGTGCAGTCTGCTGTCTGCAGGTTGTTGGTGTGGGTTTCTGGGCCCAGAGTAGCCTTTGCTGCCTCTGGTGTGTTACTACTGCGTGCTGATAAGAGGAGCTGATTTTTGTGCAGATGTTCAAGTGTTGGCCATGCCCTGGAATGGGTTATTGTTACTGTTGGCTGTGAGCAGTGTGCTAGCCCTCAGTCAACACAGAATCAGGGAAGTTGGTGTTTACCATTTTGTGGATGAGCTGGAGGTTGCCTGTAGTGTCAGAGAAGGAGTGGGATTGAGGTCCTGAAGATGCTAGTGAGACTAGACGTTGCTGGTGACAGTTCCTGCCATCCACATGTCCTTTGTGTATTTTAGGGTATATCTTGGGTCTAGAGGGCTCTCTCTGTCCCTGCTGCCCACCCATAGGTCTGCACTGAGAGCTTGTGTCAGCAGCTCCCACAGTTCTACACCCTGGCCTTCAGGATGCATTTGCTCTGTGTTCACACATGGTGGGTGGAGACCCTGAATCTCCTGTCTGCAGCACAGTGAATATGGACAGACAGCCTCCTGGCTCCAGGTGCTTCTGCAGCCCTAGAAGGGCCTGGTGCCCTCAAGTCCCCGACAGGGTACCTGGCTTTGCCGTTGCCCTTGCTTCTGCAGGAGTGCAGGGAGCGGCTCACTAGGCTGTCAGCTTGTCTGGCCGAGCTGCTGGCTCATGAGGGGAGCCTGTCCAAGGGCTAGCCAGGGTTGGACTAGGTAGAGAGCTCATTCTGGGAAGATGGTCTGAGTTTCATGCTGTTAAAACAAAAGTGGTGCTTTGCACACGGCTGTGGGAGGTCCATTCCTGCCAGACACTCCAGGCCTCAGGGAATCTCCAGAAGAGGCAGAGCCACTGTTTGCTGCTCCAAGCCAAAATGCAGTGCATCAGAACAGGGCTTTATCACATGTGAAAAATCAGGAAACTAATATTTTGGTGTTTGTAATGAAAATTCATTGGCATGTACAAGTCAAGTTAATAACTTAGGACAAGGATAAATCTATCACTATCATCTGTCATTTGTCTTTATTTATTTATTTATTTTTTGATTACTGAATATTAAGCCTAAGGCCTTGCGTAAGAAAGGACTAAGAAAGTCCTCTACCACTGAGCTCCATCTCCAAACCTCATTTTATTTAAATGAATTCTTAATTCTGTGTGTGTGGGTATTATGCTTATATGTATGTCTGTGTACTGTGTGGGTGCTGGAAATCAAATCCAGGTTGTATGGAAGAACAGCCCATACTCCTAACCTCCGAGCCATCTCTCCAGGCCCTAGTTTGACTTGAGAGATGGTCTCACCAAGTCTCCTAGGCTGGCTTTGAACTCATTCTGTAGTCCAGGCTGGTAGGTGTTTGTTTGAGACAGGGTCTCTAAGTAGCACTAGGTCATCCTAGAACTCACTATCCAGACCAAGCTGGTCTTGAAATCACAGAGGTCTGCCTGCCTCTGCTGGGATTAAAGGCATGTGCCATTATGCCTGGCCCAGGCTGGTCTTGAAATTGTGGTCCTTCTGCCTCAGTCTTCAGAGTGGGTGAAATTATGTACATGCACTTAACAGGCTTTGCTCAAATCTTTAATTGTAAGGTTGTCCTGTGGTACTTAATTTTAAATTAAAAGTTGTGACTGAGGGTCATTCTGCATTTTGTCCTAGGGCGGCGCCACATCCACCACCTGGGGAGCCAGCTGCAGCTGAACCAGCACTGCCTGGATACTGCCTTCAACTTCTTCAAGATGGCTGTAAGCAAGCATCTTACCCGAGGACGGAAAATGGCCCATGTGATTGCTGCCTGCCTCTACTTGGTTTGCCGAACTGAAGGCACACCTCGTATCCTTTGTTGGGGGAGTCCCATCTTGGTTTTTGGGTGATATTCAAATGTTGATTGAGCTGTTGCAGGAATTTGGTGTTAATGTTGCCAACAGTTCCCTTATTGGATGTCTTATCCCTCTAAGCTGCTATCTTAGTTGTTTCTGTTGCTGTGAAGACACCATGACCATGACCACTCTTATAAAGGAAAACATATAATTGGAGCTCGCTTCTAGGTTCAGAGATTTGGTCCATTATCATCATGGTGGGAGCATGGCCGTTTGCAGATAGGGTGCTGGAGAGGTATCTAAGAGTTCTCCATCTGGACCAACAGGCAGCAGGAAGAGAGGATGACACTGGGCCTGGTTTGAGCTTCTGAAACCTCAGAGTCCCCCCCCCCCCCCAGTGACACACTTCTTCCAGCAGTGCCACCTCCAATGATGACACTCCCTGAGCCTGTGGGGCCATTTTCATTCCTGCCACCACAGCTGCCAAAATGGGTAGTCAGGCTAGACTCTTTAAGTCTAGCCCTGCCGCTTTTGCATGGCGGAGGAGGAAGAGGGCTCCTGATGACTGGCTTCGCTTCATGAGGTTTCAGGTGTGGTTCTGCTGTGCAGCAATACAGGCTTGCATATCAGGGATTTCACTCTTTGTCCCTCAGTATCTCCCAGCTTCCTCCAGTACCGTCATATATGTACCTTACATATATGTCCCTTACAGTTTGTTCTCCCACACTCCAGGGATCTTGGAGATCCCTGTCTAACAAAGCACAAGGCATTTTCTCTCTAGTAGGTCCCTCCCTCTGGCCACCTCCTACCTTAACTTGTCTTAGGTTACTTGGTTCTACCTGTTTCAATTTTGTTTGTCTCAACTGAGTGTTAGGTAATCTTTGCTTCCTTTCTGTCCACCTACTCATCCTATTGGTTTGAGATAGTTCCTCGACTTTTGTCTCTCAACATAGTCCTTTTATATTTGGCGGGGGAGGGGGTACACACGTGCTACAGTATACATGCAGGTTGAGGGCCACTCGTGAGGGTCAGTTCTCTTTTTCTACCGGGTCCGCTCCAGGGATCAAATTCAGCTTGTCTGGTTTGGTGATAGGCACCTTTACCCACTGAGTTATACCCTGGCCTCTGCCCACTTACTTTTTGCGACAGATTATTTCACTGAAATTTGTCACCGTCTAGAAGAGCTGTGCAGCAAGTCCTCAGGATGTACTGTCTCCCCTCACCCCCTCAGAGCTGGGGTTATAGATGCTCATGGCCACACCAGTGCTTATGTAAGTACTGGGGTTCTGAACTCAGGTCCTATGCTTGTGTCCCAATCACTTCATATATGGAGATAGCTCCCCAGTCCCAGAGTTCTTGAAGTTCTGTCTCATGTTCTTAGAGAACTTTGTGTGCTTTTTTGTGCCCATTCTGTGCAGATACGGCATCTGCTGACTTCCTAGGAAGTGGTGTTGGGGATTCTTGAGCTCTTGGGTCAGTTCCTTCAGTTGGTCTGCTGTGGTCCAGTGGTCCTGCCATCCTTTTTCTGTGTGGCAATGGGGTCATGACAGCACTGAAAATGCTTGTGCAGTTATATCGCCTGCTGTCATCCATGTTGCCTGTGGGATGCCTGGTCCTCTAGGACCCACTCCCACACCCAGCCCTTACCTGATTGCCTTAGGTGGTACTTGGGAGAGTCCTGTGCTGGAAGGACATGTGCTGAGGCCCTTTGGGGTTCTTTGTCATTCTGTTAGTCTACTAGCAGACGTGGAACCCTGGGTGTGGGCCAGTCACATGCAGTCGCCATGCAGAAGGGACAGGGCTTATTACAAAACTCAAGCTCATTTTGGCTATCTTGCCCAACTTTGTTTCTTGTGCATCCTGACAGTTGTGTCTACAATGACCCAAAAAGCACCAGCTTATGCCGGAGCCTTTCACCCACAAATTGTGTCTACCCTTTTCAGCCTGCCAGCCCACACTCTAGTCCCTGACTCCTAGGGGAACTGAGACCTGCTGAGTCTGGTTCATAGGAGCCAGGCCTTGTGGGCTCATCCTTGGTTTTAAATTCTCTTCACAGGCTAGAGGAAGGTTGTGGGGGTAGCAGGGCTAGGAAGGACCTGACCTGTTTCAGGCAGCATCTAGATGGGCAGATGTATTGTCAGATACAAGGAGACATTGTTTTTTTCAAGAGGATAAAGTATGACCAATGTACTTCTTAAGTTATATGCCCAGATTTGTTCCTATAGGATTTGTGTATAACACATTCATGGAAGAGGATGATTTTGCCTGCAGCTGTATTTATTCAGAACACCCAAGCTGTTATAGTAGATCTACATGTGATCAGTAGCCTCAGAGGGGTACCCTAGGCAGTGGGTCTAAGGCAGGAGCCCACCCTGCAGCTGACACCCCAGGGGAGTAGGCCGACCAGCCTATGTGGTTCTGTGTGGTAGACAGTAACGATCTGCCCAGGGTGGTGTTTTCCTGAGCTGACTGGCTTCCACATGCATCCTCACTGACTGGAGAGAGGCCTTGTAGCGTGCCCTATGGGGTCTTGTGCAGTTAGGTCAGCAGCAAGCTCTGTAGGCCTGCAGCAGCTTTCAGGATTTTTTTTTTTTTTTAACAAGTTTGCTGAAAATGATAGGGAAATTTCTCCTACAATCCCTGGTTCACCTCTACCTGGGCATCAGCCACCACCCATCATTCCTCAAAAACAGAGGGTTTAAACCAGAATGTTCGAGCTTACCAGAAGATACCCACTGTCATCATTTTCCTTTTTCTTTCTTTCCTGTTGTTGTTCTGTTTTTGAGACAAGGGTTTTTCTGTATAACAGTCCTGGCTGTCCTGGAACTCACTTTGTAGATCAGGCTGGCCTTGAATTCACCTCTGTGAATGCCTGCCTCTGTCTCCTGAGTGCTGGAATTAAAGGCTTATGCCACCACATCTGGCTGTCATCTTTTTCTTTATGGTTAATTTTGTTGTTTTTGAGACAGAGTTTCTACCATGGCTGTCTTGGAACTTGCTGTGTAGACTAGACTGACTGTGAATCAGAAATCTACCTGCTTCTGCCTTTGGAGTGCTGAGATTAAAGGTGTGTGACCACACCAGGCTGTTTTTTCAATCCAGTTTAAGTCTTTGGCTCATCTGGACCTGGTGGTATAGGCCTCTATTGCCAGCTACTCAGGGGACTGAGGGAAGAGGTAGAAGCAGGGGTTTAGCATCTCCAGATCTGATGGGAGGAGGCTCAGTCTTTAAGGCAGAGGCTTTGAGGAGGCATGTTGTCAGACAGCACCACACAAGACAGATACTCTTTTAGGATAGTGTTGATGTGTCAGTTGTCTGAGGTGTGCCACACATACAAAAAAAACGCACTTGCAGGCAGAGGTGGTTGCTAGAGCAATGAGGGGCCAGTCCTGAGGAGGTAGACTAATGAAGCACATGAGCAGGTTCCCATGGGTCATTCAGAGCATCTGTTCTGTTTGCCTTTGAAGCCAGTTAGTGTCTGTAGACAGCACCCTGAGAACTGGGTTCTCATAGAACCTGCCCTTGGTTTCTGGGCCTTCCTGACGCCTGGGGTAACTCAAGTCATTCCAGGCCCTGTTCAACCCATAAAATTGGCCTAGGCAACTGTGAAGGATGTCCTCAGGTCCTGTAACTCCTATTTCAGGAATCCAGATATGGTTGTTCTGAGCTGTGAGCCTACTTCTCTTTGATAGTCCCAGTACAGGGGCTCAAGACAGTGTACTGGGATCCTCCCTCTATCAAGTCTGTGTCACCCTCTGGTGAGGGGACTGTACTGTGCTAGGCCAAGAACTACAGGCCCGAATTATCTGGGTCTTAATTCTGCCTCTGCCCCAGAGTTTGGTAACGAGGTTCTTAGTCTGTTATCTTTTCAGGGAGAAGAGGAAGAGAAAGCCTTATGCCTCCATGTCATCATGCTGCCAGAGAGCAGACCTCAGGAGTCTAGACAGCCGGTATCAATCAGTACTCTGCAGGGAGCAGGCCTCAGTTCTGTGTACAGAAGTGTCAGTGCTGTGCAGAAAGCAGGTGTCCACATATTATGTGGACGGTTGCGCCAGTGGTATATAGGGAACAAGCTCCAGCCTTTTATAGACAACAGGAGTTTGTGTGTAGACAGTAGGTTTCAGGGTTGTGTTGAAAACAGAAAGCAAATGTCATACAGTCAGTAGCCATCAGTTTCTGGTAGACAGCAGTTGGTATTGTATAGACAGTGGGCATCAATACCATGCAGTCAGCAGACCTCAGTGTTGATGGTAGACAGGAGGTGTTCAGAGTCCTGTGGGCATTACACACCATGGCTGCAGACAGAGGGAGCTGAGAGTGGTTTGCTGCATTCTCTGTGCCTTTGCCTGATGGAGCATCCTCAGAGTTCTTCCTCTAGAGGGCGCTGTGGACTGGGCTTAGAAGAACTTTCCAGGGAACAGTCAGTGAAAGCAAGAGGGTGCAGGAGATGGTGAGAAGTGGACTATGGAGCGTGCTGGGCCAGTTTTCTTCTTCATTTCTTGGGGTCCTATAATGGCAGTGTTAGTTGAGTGGTTCTCTACTGACCCATTCATCTGCTAACTGTTGCAGACACATTTTTTTTTTGTCAGATTGTACATAAAAGAACCATTTCTTTCATTTTTGTCTCTGGATGTCTGTGGAAATATTTCGTATGTAAAGCTGTATAAAGAAATTACATAGCTGGGCTTGGCTTTTAATCCCAGCTTCATGAGAGGCTGAAGCAAGAGGATCTCAAGTTCAAGGTCAGCCTGAGTTCAGAGTGAGTTGAAGAATAATCTGGATAGAGAAAGATGGTAGAGCTGAGAGATGGCTCAGCAGTTAAGTCCACTGGCTATTCTTCCAGAGGTTATGAGTTCAAGTTGCAGCAACCACACAATGGCTCACAACCATCTATAATGGGATCTGATGCCCTCTACTGGTGGGCAGGTGTACATGCACACGGAGCACGCATACTTTAAATTTTTTTTTTTTTTAATAAGTCTAAAAAAAAAAGAATATGGGCTAGGGATTTAGCTTAGTAGTAGAGAGCAATATGTGCCAGGTCCTCGGTTCAAGCTTCTGTGCTGCAAGGCAGAGGCAGTGAGAAAGAAAGAAAAAAAAATTCCTTGTTTTCTCTAGTTCTGCTTCATTTAAATCTCTAAACTTTAACCCTGTGGAGAATTCAAGAATGTTTCTCAGTTTAAATCAGATCTTGTCTGCAAATGTTCTTCCATCAAGCACAGCCAGTTGGATGTGGTTGCCTGTTAGTCTACTCTCCTTGCAAAGAAACTGATCCCAACTTCCAGCACTGGCTGTGAAGAGGCCAGGTTGGTGTGATGGCATTTTCAGACTTTGTCAGAGCTACGATGGCCTGAGGGAGTCTTACACACTCTGGCCTCTTCCAGCCCTCCAGAAAGTCCAACCTAACAGCTTTTCATCTCCCATTCCTTGCTGTGTGTATGTTTCTCCTTAACTGGAGTTTGAGGCTTGCTGAATAAAAGTGCTACCTGTCAGAATATGATAGGGTCCAAATAGGGTCACAGAGTGGTCCTTTCCCTTAGAAATTTGATTCTTGTATGCTCATGGCATGGTCAGATTTTGACTTTTCTCTTGACTTTCATGACACACCAGTACCTATGTTAAAAGCAGAGGTTTATCAAAGGGAGCTAGGGAGATACAGTACCTCTGGTCATTATTTGGGGGACCTATATGCTGCTCTCCATGCACTAAAAGGCTCTGGTTCAATTTTCTGTAAACCCTGTAGAAACTTGTATCAGCCTGGTGATTTTCACTTAGTCGATTTGGTTGAAAGTTAAATTCTAGTCTCTTTTTAAAATTACATAAAATCTCTCCCATAGCTTTACTGTGAACAGTTTCAAACATCACAGGGTGAAAGTGATTATATTCTCCCAAGAAGAGTTTGTGGTCCTTGCTCCACCCCAGCCACTTTCACCACCTGTCAACTCGCTGTTCTTCAGCATCTTATTTTTGACACATTTCAAAGCAAGCTGTAGGACTCAGGGTACTCCACTACCCCAGCTTTGTGGAAAAACAAGATTTGCTCTGGAGGTAAAATTGACATAAAGTGCATAAGCCTTCCTTTATTACTTGGTGAGGTCTGAGATATTTATACACCTGTAGACCCCTTTGTCTGCCGATGCCCCTTCAATCAGACCCTGCTTCACCAGCTCTCAAAGGCTACCATTGTTGTTCTGTCCTCCCAACTGTAAACTTGCTATCTTATTCTAGGGTATACCATAAATATAGGCACACAGCCTAAGCTCTTTTCTCTAAGGTTTTGTCACTTGGCAAGCTTTGCATTTTGTATGTTGCTTTCACACCAGAGTTATTGTATTTACAAGACAGTGCTTAGCTGTCTGTTGATGGACCTTGATTTGGTCTCATTAGGAGGCCCTTTTGAATGAAGCTGCTATAAGCATATTTGTGCATGTCTTTTGTGGGTTAGTGATTTTGTTTGTCTCAAATGAATGCTTCAAATTGGAACAGCTGGGTTCCAGGTGGGCTGTTATTCTGTCCAAGAAACCTATAGACTGGGCTGGGCATGGTAGCATACATGGGAGGCAGGGGCAGGTAGATCTCTGAGAGTTCAAGGCCAGCCTAGTCTACAAAGCAAGTCCAGGATAGCCAGGGCTCTGGTACACAGAGAGAAACCCTGTCTCAAAAAACCAAACAAACAAAGAAGGAGGAGGGGGAACAGGAACCGGAACCTGCAGGCTATCTCCAGTGGCTAATGTGGGGGAAGGCTAGCTATACCCTGGCAAGTGTTTGGTGTTATGAGTGCCCTGGATGGGTTTCTGTGACCCCTTGTGCAGTAGAGTTCATGTCATGTGTACATGAGCTGTTTCTCTCTTTGTAGAGCTTTTGATCACAAGCTTTGCCTGTGTTTTGGTCTCTGTTTTATTGCCCATACAAAATTTCCTATATTTTTAAACGTCAGTTATCTGTGTGTCTCTGTGTATGTACAGGGCATGTACATGCCATATGGTCATTGTGGAGATTAGAGGACAACCTTAAAAAGTCACTTCTTTCACCATGGATTCCTGAGGTCAAACTCAGGTTTTCAGGCTTGCACACCAAATGTCTTTATGTCCCTTCTTGAGATGGTCTGTCTCTCTCCTAGGCTGTCCTTGAACTGGTGTTTAAATGATCTTGTGTCAGACTCCTAGTTGTTGAAACCATATGTTACAACCACTCCCTTTTGCTTTTTTAAATTTTTGTTTGTTTCAGACAGGGTGTCTCTGTAGCCTGGGCTGCCCTGGGTCTTTGTAGACCAAATTGGGCTTAAACTCACAGAGATCCACCTGCTTCTATCTCCCAAGTGTTAGGGTTAAGGGCATGCACTACCATGCCTGGCCTGTTTATTACTTTTTATTCCATTAAAGATTAAGATTTATTTTTATTTTATGTATATGTCCATGCACCATATGGAGGCCAGAGAGGTGTTGGATCCCCTGCAACCTGAGTTATAAGTGGTTGTAAGCTGCCTTGTGATGCTGGGAATTGAACCCAGGTCCTCTGCAAGAGCAGCAGGTGCTGTTAACTTCTGAGTCATCACCACAGCCCCAGCATATTTTTAAATAAACATTTTTTTTTAGGCGAAGTTTTAGACATCACAAAATTCTGTAGAAAGTACAGAGTCCCTCATTTTGTTTCCAGGTTGCCAACCTCCAGATCAGTGTGGTATGAGGAGGAGTATTTTTTGAGACAGGGACTCCCTGTTCAGCCTAGAATGCTTATCACTCACATCCTCCTGACTCAGCCTTTAGTACCCTCCACCTGTTTCTTCAAAGTAGACTCTCTCCTTGAGCCTGGGGCTTCATTTTCTTAGCTCTGATGGAAGCCAGCAAGCCTCAGCAATCCTCCTGCCTCTGCTCCCATTAGAGCTGGGATTGCAGAATGTGTGGGATGTCTGGTTTATTACGTGGGTGCTGGAATCAACGACTGTGCAGCAAGTATTCTTAACCACTGAGCCATCTCTGCAGGCTGTATAATTTTTTAATATGTAGCACTGGGGCGCAGTTCCATGTTCTTGTTAAGCAAAGTTTACTGCTGGGCTGCAACTTAACCTCGCTGACAAGTGACTTGTTTTTTGTTTTGTCTGTGTGCCATCTGTGTTTGAACTCATCTGAGGCCTGTTCTTGGTGGTGTTTACTGACATGCATAGCAAGGGTAGGTCTCACATCAGAGCCTCTCTAGTAGTGTTTGGTTGGTATTGTGCCTTGCTACAATGTCTATGTCTGTGGCCTAGGAGTTGGCCTGCTGACTCTCAGAATGGTGACCAGCAGGTCCCCAGTTGTGCCCAAGTAATAGAGCTGAAGTGTGGTGGTTCAATTCTGTGCTGTCTGAACAGAAGGCATTGTGCAATAGGCAACTGAAGTTCCCATTTCTGGTTTCTCTGACCCTGTTCCCCACTCCCTCTTGTAGCTTTCTGTCCTTGAAATAGATTCCAAGGTCTCCCTCAGTGCCTGGAGAGACACAGGGACTAGTGAGATGATGAGCTGGGATCCGACAGTGAGGTCAGCTCCCTGGGTATGCTGCCCTGGTAGCCTCTGCAAACACTCCTTAACTCCAGCTGCAGATATGCTCCTGGACCTCAGCGACCTGCTCCAGGTAGATCCTTTTCCTTAAGTTTTTCTTGGCCTGAGGACATTACAGGGCCACATCCTGTGTGTCCATATACCTAGAGGTTAATCTGTGCTTCTTGGAATTGGCAGCCTTGGTGTTCAGGGTGGTGGAGTTTGTGTGGCCAGAGCTTGGGGCCTCAGCAGGAGGGCAGCTCACAGTCACAGCATTATCTAGGGCCTTAGGACTGCTTGAGAGACTCATGTGAAACTTAGTCCAAGGTAAAGAAGATTCCTTTTTAAAGGGAGTATTAGACCCATGCATGCATTTCAAACTATGGAAAACTCTCATAAGTATAGTCTATTTAGGGCCACGTTACCTTTCTGGATTCAGATAAGTGTTTTTTGTTGCATTGCTTGTTTTTGGTTGGGTGGGTGGGGTTTTGTTGTTGTTTTGCTTTTGAGACAGGGTTTCTCTGTGTAGCCTTGGCTGTCCTGGACTTGATTTGTAGACCAGGATGGCCTCAAACTCAAGTGATCCGTCTGCCTCTGCCTCCCAAATGCTGGGATCAAAGGCATGCGCTACTATGCCTGGCTTTGGCTGTTTGTTTTTTCTAACACCGGGTCTCATGTTGCTCTGGTTGGTGTGGAACACAGACCTATGCCTGCCTCCGAGGTGCCTGGATTCAAGGCTTGTGGCACAGTGACCAGTGCACTGCTCACTTCTAAGTGACTGGACATGGGAAGATGCAGCTAGGGATCTCCAGTCAGTGAGGGAGAGAGGGACATCAAGACCGCGCTGTCACTCCACTGCTAGGAGGCTGGGTAGAGACCGACTGAAGTCTCCAGATCACACCCTGAGTGTGGCAAGACCCTGAGGTCCACAGTGACTCCGTGGACTAGGAAGTAGAATGCCACAGTTTTGTCTTGAAGAGAAATGATCTGGGTGCTAGCCTGGGCTCCTGAGAGCTGATAGGCCAGGTTACTGCTCCTGGTTGCTCATGTACCGGTGCCCCCCCACCCCAAGAGACTAACATTTAGATTCCAGTCAGAAGGTGCCTTGTATTTTTGTCCTTCCAGCTGTCTTTATAAACGGCATCTCTCAGCAGCTAGCGGAAATATTTTTTGGTCAAGCTAAAAATAACCTGTTGGAATTGTGATAATCTATCGACTCCACCATTGACTGCATTGTCATTAGTTCAGAGCATGGCTGCATGGCTGTTTCCAGCCTCCCAGAAAAGATGAGGGCCAGGGCCAGGCAGCTCCAGAAGTAGCTTGGACACCTCTTAGAGGAAAACAGAGATGGACGAGTCAGTTTTGGGAATGGGAAAACAGACTCTCAGGATAGGAGGTGGCATGCCACCAGGAAGGGTCGAGGCCTGGCCAGTTGTGTGGTCTGGGTGGCTACAGACTTCTTCTTGGCAGGGCTGGCAAAATGGGATATAGGGGACCTATAGGTAAGGACCATGTAAGGTTGTCCCTTCCCGGAACATCCTCAGTATATTCTTCTGTTCCTCCAAGATCTCCCTCATGCCAGGCTTTGCCTGACCTGAAGACAGACAGTTCTGTTCTTATCTGGGTGGGGCACATACACCCATGTCCATGAAGGCCTCTGGTGGGGCTGGCTGCTTTGAAGAAATAAGTGAAAGAGTAGAATTGGCAAAGACCCTGTAGTTAAAGCCTTGGCAAAGGCAGGTAGCCGTCAGCCACTAGCACAGAATGAATTCTCAGTGTGGCGATATCTAATAGTACCTATCAATAAGACTATGCCTGAAGCCAGGTGCAGTGGTACACAAAAACTATCTCTAGAAAGTATTGTTTTTAATTTTTTCTTTTAGATTTATTTTATTTGTATGAGCATTTGCCAACATGCATGTGTGTGGAGTATCTGTGTGCCTGGTGCCCAGAGGCTGGAAGAGGTTGTTGGATCCTCTGGAACTGGAGGTACAGGTGGTTGTGAGCCAGCATGTGGGTGCTAGGAACCGAACCCAAGGCCTCTGCAAAAGAAGCAAGTGCTCTTTTACCATTGAACCATCTCTCTAACCCCTGGAAAGTGTTCTTAAAACTTTGAATTTACACTTGAAATCTGAATAAAACATGAGAGCTTTCTGTAGCATTCAGATCTTGTTGTCAACCATGTCCACTGGGACCCTAGGTTAAGACAGTGAAAGAGTCTGAGGTAGGTAGGTGGAGTTTAGGGCCAGCCTTGGCCACCCCACTGGAGTGGGGACCTGGATATCTGTAGGGGCATGAGAGGATGTTACAGAAACAGTGTGCTCCTATGGAAGCATATTTACTTGCATAACACAGACAACATACCACATGCTTACATCACATGCGTGTGCTTAAATCACACACACCTGCATGTTTACGTACCACACATGCATACTCACATAGGCTGTACAGTCATGCACATCATAGTCTTGTGGACAACCCTTGAGAAAGGGCTTCAGAAAGTGCTCTGTGAGCCGCCAGTCCCGGTGAAGACCACAGAAAGATAGTACCTAGTCTAGCCAGGGTGGAAGGTGACCAGTCCACGGCTGATTGCCTATGGTGACTGGACCTGGCCTCAGCTGGGTTGACTCACTAAGTTGACAAGTCCCAAACTCTTCTCCCCTAGTCCTGCATGTAATGAATACCCCACTGTGTATCATTCCTTGGGCTGTCTCCTGACATACACAAATACCTAGGGATATCACTTTCATGCCAGGAAAAAAGGCTTACCAAAGGCCCACAGGCTGGGCTGGATCAGGTGAAGAAATTCTTTCAGGAGGCCAGAAGCAGAAGGCTAGACCAGTCATATCTGTAAGGCCCAGGAGTCCTAGGAATGGCTTGGCATAAGTACAGTGTTGGGTTTTCAGGGAGCTGAGGATGGGAGGGGCTTCTTAGGATTGGGGCAGGTCTGAGTATCTCAGGTTGCACTGAGGTACTGAACTGCATGTTAGGGGTTCTGTACATGGGGTAAACCTTTGTGTTCCTGACAGCTGATAGTGCTCTTACCATTCCAACCCTTGGTACAGCCCTTCCAGGATAAACTTATTCTCACTTCTTACCTCCTGTGGCAAAGAAGAGCTATGGCAGGTGGTCCAATCGGGGCAGCAGGCTTGAGGGTAGTGGGGGAAACATTTGGGATTCCGGCAAGGACACAGAGATCCCTGGGACTGTAAGCTAGTACAGTAGTGCTATGTACTAGTCCCATGTTGATTCAGAATGAGCGTACAGAATGAGACTGAACAGTGAAACGGGCACTAAGAAAGCAGCAGCTGAGCTGGGTGTGGTGACACTCACCTTTACCCAGCTTTCAGGATGTATAGGTAGGCAGGTCTTTGAGTTAGAGGCCAACCTGGTTCCAGGGCAGCCAGGGCTACACAGAGAAACCCTGTCTCAAAAAACAACAAAAATTATAAAGAAAGAAAAGAAAGGAGCAGCAAATGTTTCCTTGGATACCAATGAAGTCCTGTGTTCTTTTCGCCACAGGTGAATGTGTATGTGCTGGGGAAGACGTTCCTGCTCCTGGCGAGGGAGCTGTGCATCAACGCCCCAGCTATAGGTAGGCTGGGTTCACAAAGGACCACCTCTGGAACTGGCATGCTAAGGTGCTCAGAGCAGAGGGATGTGCTTCATGTTGGGAACCTGTCCTGTGTGAAGCAAATACCTTGAGAAAGGCATGGGCCTCCTCACAGTTGAGGGCGGCCCCAGGATCAGGTGCCTTCCCATATGCAAAGATGTGGTTTTCATGGTTTCTGAAGCATCAACTCATGGTAACAAGGTGCCACTTGGGGCAGAAACTCTGGGAAGAGAGATCTGAGTCTCAACAGTGTCAAGCTTCTAGTTTTAAGCCTACTGGGGCTAAGGAGCATACTGTCTCCCCAGAGATGATTGCCCTGCCAGTGGGCCTTCAGAGGTCAGCTACTTTTCCAGGATAAAACAACTGCAAGGGACAATAGAGGCCTGTGCCTAGGAATCCTCCTTTACACTCAGAACACCCCACTGCAGGCAGCAGAGCACACTGCCCACTCCTTAAATAGGACCCCTGCAATAGAACCTTTGAGGTACTTTTAACAAATGCAAACACCCAGACATGTGGCCTTCTAGAGTTCTATAGCTCCTGAGAGGAGCACAGCCCAGATACCACACAAGCATCAGGGGAACAGATGAGTTCCCCTTAGAGGTTTGATTTTAACAGCTCTGTACTGCAGACTTCATACAAACAAGATGTTCTTTTCAGTAGAACTGAGAAAGAGAATGCCCCAGTTAATAATTCCTACAGTCACTTATCTGTGTGTGGTTGTGTGAAACCTTTATTATGAAAATTCACTTAAATAGGATGGAACTATTTTAAGTGACTTTTCACCATTTTGTGGCTTGAATGGAAGGCCTCAAGGTAGGCTGGAACCACTCAGAATTCAAAAGAGGGGGAGGAAAACCCAAGGTTCCTGAAGCTTGGGTGCCACTGGGCAGGGATCTGGGACTGCCTTGTACCCAAAGTCTGTCTTCTATCTGTGGAATACCATCTGGGATCAGGGGACATCTGCAATTCGGTTCCTAGGCTCTGGCTGTGTAGAGAAGTCATCTGTTCCAAACTCTGGCTGATCCAGCAATGCCAAGCCTTTAGTAGCATCAGAAAGGCAGCTGGCAGTGTCCTGCACCTCCACTGCACTTACTGGGTGGACCCCATGAAGAAAGAGTGTGGTGGCAGGTTCCCCTCAGGCATAGAAGATGAGCTCCGGGATCTGACCACCCTGGACTCCAGTCCCATTGGTGCTGTCTGAGGAACACTGGAACTGGAAGGCCACTTTTCCACACTGCACTTCTGTCATTCCTTCTTGCCCAAAGTAGCTGAGCTCACTGCCATCCAGGACAGCACTGGCAGTGTAGAAGGTGTCCTGCTCCACCTGAACTGGGTGCTCAAACCAAACTGGGAATGTGTTGCTGGATCCGTCTGAAACAAACTTGGTGAGGTTCTGAGCCAGGACCATCCCTAGCCGCTTGAGTTCAATCTTTACACTGTACTCAGCCTTCCCAGAACTGGACCCATACAAGCCCAGCCCAGCAATGAACACCCTTCTGTCCACTGCAAACTGGATGCTGTCACAGCGCCCACGGTACCTCCACTGGTTACTTCGATAGGCAGAAGACTGGAAGCGGTGGCATCTCTGTGGAGCAAGGCCCTTCCTCTTGGTCAGGGGGAAGTCAAGGAGGGGCTTTTTGGCAGCTGTGTACCAGAGGAAGATGTTGTGGGTCTCTTCTAAGGTCAGGATGTCTGACTGGGCAGCACCATTGGCAAACTCCTCCAAGGTCATAGTTGGAATTCGGACCAGATAGAGGGCTCTTCCCAAAACATGCCTCTTGTTGTGTGGGGTGACTGGGAGACCCTGTCTCTTGCACTCTGCCTCAGCCCAGTTGAGGACCGCCTCAAAGACCACAGCCTCCTTGGTGTTGAGGGCCTCCCTGGTCACAATGATCTCCAGTGTCTGCCGGTCAATTTCACAGAAGCCTTCAGAACGCAGAGCCATTTCAGCCTGAGCATCGATGACCTCCCAACATCGCTGGGTCAGTTCAGGCTCCTCAAACAGTCGGCTCTGGGACAGCAGCACACAGGCATTTTTGGCTTCCAAACTTGTCTCCAGAAAGTTGACACAGGCCTTGGCAAGCGCAGGCACAATGTACTTCTTAGCAGCATACAGAGTGGCAAGCACTGTGTCCGCCTCCAGATCAATCTCATCGCTGTACATGTACCTGGGTAAGGCAGGGACTCTCCTGGGGAGCTGCCAGGGATGGCCTCAGAGAAGAGCGCATGGGCTCCCGTGCACAGCCTCTCAGGTTGTAGGAGACATGTAGGGACCACTGGAGGGTAACCACCCCATCCTTCCAGCCCCAGAGCAGAACACTTACTTTAACAAGACCAGGAAGGCAGCAGGCTCTACATCGGGAATGTGGATTTCTGACTTGACTTCTGCAAGATCCCCGTAGAACATGGCATAGAAGACAGAGCTGCCAACAGCCAAGACATACTGTGGATGAAAGAAAGCCGCCTGAGCCTACAAGGCAGTAAAGGAGACCCAGGGAGACTACGGCTAGTCAGGCCCACCCGAGGACAGGCCTACGCCCCTACCTTGTGGGCGGGCACGCGTCTGGCTGCCCCCGGAGCCCCCACGATGAAGTGGACGTCAGCCATGAGCTCGTTGTTGAACATGAGCGCATTCCTGCAAAGAGTAGAAACACAGGGCTGGAACGGCGCACGCCCGGGCTCCAGAGCCCGGGGGCGGGCGGTGGCTCACCTCTCGCGCAGCGTAGGGTGGAAGGACTGCCAGTTGGGACTCTCGGGATTGTTGTTGTCTGGCAAGGGCGGCGCGGGCAAGGGCGGCAGCGGGGCGGGCGCCAGGCAGGGCGGGCAGCATAGGCCGACCTTCCTGCTCACTGCCGCGTCCGCCGCGTTGCTGTTGGCGATGTCGGTGGCAGTAGTTGCAGAGGGACTGGCGGGCGGGTACAGTTCCGCGGCCATCTTCACTCCCACCGGGGCGGCCTCCGCGCAGGTTGGCGCCGCGCTATGCGCTTTCGCGTTGCGCCGAGGCCTGGGCAACGGCTCTGCGAGTACCAGCAGAGAGGTTAGGCACTGAGCCACCCGCCCATGCAGGCAGGCCAGCGGCAGCAGCATGGGGCCACGCTGGCCCTGCCCGCCGCCCACCCGCACCCCGCTCCGAGCCTGCGGCCCGGCCGCAGGGGGCGCCTTCCCGCCCGTACCCACTGCGGCGCCGGCGTCTCGGCGTCTTTCGTCACTGTGCGTCACCACGCGACTCCTCCCGCCGAGGAACCTCCCTGGCGGGGAGGGCGGAGAGTGAAGCTCGCCCAGAGGGCTGTAGTTCCATCTATCGCTCAGAAATAAGACCTTGTCAACAGCTCAGGTTTTGTAAAAGATCCTGACACTGCTAGCTTTGCTTCGTGAAAAAACTGAGTCTCAGACACAGGCTTAATCTCCTCTTCTTTGTGTTTAGCTTCCTTAATGGAGTCTAAAAGTCAAGGGCAGTGCGTTTTTGTAGTGTGTCAGAATTTCCTTTTCTCTTATAAATCAGGACTTCATGTGCCTGAAGACTCTTAACTCCCTATGTAAACCCTCCCTTTTAAGTTGACTCTTCCGTTGTGTTGTATTTTGTTTGTCAGTTTATCCAACCGATAGGTGGACACCAGAATGGGTTCCATATCCCAGCTGTTGTGACCGTAGGAGGGCAGTTATCCTAATTGCAGTTCTTTGTGTCTCTATCTGTAGGTGGGGTAGTTGGAAAATGGCCATTCTTCGTTTACCTGTTTTATGTGTGTGGAAGTTTTCCCTGCGTGTCGGTGTGACACACGGTGTACCTGGTCTTCTGCAAGAACAATAAGCGCTCTTTTTGTTGTTGTTTTTTATTTTTTATTTTTTTTTTCGAAACAGGGTTTCTCTATGTGTAGACCTGGCTGTCCTGGAACTCGCTTTGTAGACCAGGCTGGCCTCGAACTCACAGAGATTCGCCTGCCTCTGCCTCCCAAGGGCTGGGACTAAAGGTCTATGTCACCACCACCCAGCTCAATAAGCACTATTAATCACTGACTCATATCCAGCCCTTTACTCTCTAAAACAGACTAGCCTAAAACTCAGAAATCGTCTGCCTCTGCCTCCCAAGTGCTGGGATTAAAGGTGTGTGCCACCACTGCCAGGCTACATTCACTTTTTTGAGGAAACTTTGCAATAGCCTTTTTAGTGGATATATTATTTTCCATTCTTCCACAGTATGTACAGGCTCATTTTTCCTCACCCTGGCAAGGCTTCTTATAATTTTCTAGGTTTAATAGAGGCTGTGCAAGTGGGTGTGAGGTGGTATCTCAATAATTGATGATGCCAAGCATCTTTCTTGGGAAAAGTATCTACTCAAGTCGTTTGCCCATTTTGTAATCAATTTGCCTTTTCACTGCATTGAGCTCTTTAGGTAGTATGGATGTTAATCCTGATCTTAGTGAGTGACAGATGTTTTCTCCCATTTTTGTACTTAACCTCGTCTATGGACAGACTCCTTTGCTATGTAGAAACTTTTGCAGTCTGAAGTTATCATGTTGTCTATTTTCTCTTGTGTGAAATCATTGCCATGCCCTCCATGGTTTTTTGTTTTGTTTTGTTTTTAGGAAATTTGTACATCTTTGGTCTTGTTTGGTCAAAGTTTTAAGTGTGACAGTATGTTCCCAGCCTGTGTATAGTCCCAGTATCTTGTTTTCCAAGCCTGTTTGCTAAAGAGACTGCTCTTACCCCTGTGTCTTTTTATTCATTCCTTTGTTTGTTTTTTGAGATAGGATCCCACTATGCAGCCCTGCCTGCCCTTGTAGACCAGGGTGACCTTGAATTCCCAGAAGTCCACTTGCATCTGCCTCCCAAGTGCTGGAATTACAAGCATGAGTCATCAGGCCTGGCTTGGTTTCTTTGTTCTTTAATACACATGTTATTTTCATAACCGTCCTACAGAGCCAGCGAAAGGATTACTTTGTGAGGCAAAGAATTTAAAGTCTCATTAATAAATGCAGTCTGGTTATGTGTCTCCCACCTTAGTCCTTTTCCTGATCTCCTCTTCTTCCCATCCTGTGGCTTAGAAACTTGTATTTGCAGTGCTTCTTGCTTTGTATGAATCCAGCTCTGTCCCCAAGTGCACAAACACTCCACTATTTTATCAAGTAGGCTGCTTCAGGACCTCCATCTTCTCTGCTGTCTTAAGCCTTCCCTAAGTCCTTTAGTGGTTTCCTTTTCCTTTTAAGAGAAGGGGCTCTCTCTGTGTTTTCTAGGCTGGCCTCAAATTCCTGAACCAAAGGGTCTTCCCTGTCCGTCTTCTGCGTAGCTCAGGTACAGGTATAGGCCAGCGTACTCAGCTTTTTCTGAGTCTTTGCATGAGCTGGAGTGCATACTTGTATATACGGTCTCATGGACTCACTTGGTCAGGGTCAGTTAGCCTGGGAGGGGGCTCAGTTATCATTCAGTAGCTGACCTCTCTTCCTGCTTCCCTCCCTCCCCTCTCCTTTCCTGCCTGCTTCTCAGGCCTGAGCATAAGTGGTTCTTCCTGGACAAATCCCAGGTCTCTCTCTCCCTCATCATTGTACTAATGGCATAGTAAAAATGAAATGACTTCATCAAGTGACTTGGTTGTTCTTGCTGGCCTCAGTCATGGACTTGATAAATCTTTGGCTGAAATTTCAGGCCCCAGCAGAGTGCCAGGCAGGAGGAGAATAAGCAACTGTGAGCATGTGCACCCGTGTTCATCTTGTAAGATGCTGAGCTGACAAGAGCCACGCAGGAAACTCAGAGGGTGGTGTGTGTAAAGAGCCCGCCCTGTCCTGCTCTTTGACCTTTAATCACCCCCTTAGGAGGAGGTTTCCCTCTCTCTGTTGCCTTACCTGCCTGGAACCATGTCATGTGAAGGTGGCGGTGCTCTGGGTCCAGTAAACACAGCTGCACAGCTAAGGGTCAGACAGGCTGTGCTTCAAGGAGCCTGTGTACGTGGAAAAGTGGGTAGAGTCACCCAGCTGCAGGGTGTCACTTAGTCCTGTCCACATGTGCATCAGCAGTAAGTGCTGTGTCTACTGTGCAGACCCGTGCTTGTACATTCCACGCTTTGCTCATCTACTGGAGTTTGGGGAGAAGAACCATGAGGTATCCATGACAGCCCTGAGGCTTCTGCAGAGAATGAAGAGAGATTGGATGCACACGGGTCGGCGCCCCTCTGGCCTTTGTGGAGCAGGTAGAGTGTGGGTCATATAGCCCTAAAATGACAGCTCAGTCTGGCACTAGGGTGGCATTTTCTATCCTGACACTTGATGAGTGCATGCATGCATGTGTGGGGAGGTTACCAGCAGTTAAATTTTGGGCCCCATACATAGTAGGTGAGTTGAACCCTAATCATCTGTCTTGAGCTTTAAGCAGTCAAACCAATGAGTTATTGGTTGTAGTTCCAGAGTCTGCCCTGTAGAAGAGGCAGGACTGACCCAACCTCCACGGTCCTCACTCCTTAAGGACTCTGGTGCTTGCTCATTTGTTGGCCCTGCAGGTTCTGAGATGAGAGACAGGGCCTCAGAGCATGGGATGAAAGTGGTAGCCCGAGTTCCACCCCAAGCTGTCTGCTCTTGGCAAATTGTTGCAACTCTCAGCTGGTTAGTGATACAGCTTTTCACTGAGACACTAAGCCTTTGCTAGCCCAGCAGCATAGCCGTTCTGATTGCACCTATAAGGACCCTCCAGGTGATGACTGTGGCCTAGACCAAGAGTCCCCTACTCAGAAAGAGCCCCAGGCCAGCAGAAGCCTGTTCCTTCTGCAGCATCCATCTTTCTATCTCTCTGCAAAGACAGATACCACTTTTGCACCCAGCCAGTGGTAGAGTGATGCTGCCTGAGACTCTCCTTGCATCTGAAACCTGATTTCTACACTTAGCCTGCTCAGGGGCCCCCTTACTCACTATTACCATAATTCACACGTCAGACAGTATCTTTGGCCTTGTGATCCCAGCTTTTCCCACTTATACTATATTCTCAGGTTCGTCTGCTCCTGATCATAACCAGGGGTTTCATATACATCACATCAAAGTTAATTCATGTGCTTTGAGGGGTTATAAGAAATTCTTGAATTTTCTGTTTCAATTTCCCTGTGTTTCAGAGTAGAATGAGGTGTAGCCTCAATCCGGGGACTATCATTGCCCAAGACTGTCTATACCAAAGGTCTATCCTCTTGTAGAAGCCACGGCAGACACGTCCCACCCACGGTGTTCAGCTGTCAGTAGCAAGAGTTAAGGCAAAACTTTGTTTGCTTTCATTTCTGTATATATAGTGTGACTTTTCTGATGGCTTTTCTTGTTTCCTTCCTAGCGCTTTTGGTTGCAGCCAGAATGCATGACTTCCGGAGAACCGTCAAAGAAGTCATCAGCGTGGTCAAAGTATGCGAGTCCACACTACGGAAGAGGTGAGCATTCTAGTTCACAGTGTGATGGAAGAGGTGCCATTTGCTATGGTCCTTTCTGGGCTTAAGAGCCCAAGTGACTTCTTGCTAGAGTTATTTACACCTCCTCATATTTGTCATGGGCCACAGGCTCTGTGCCTAGCTTTCAGTAGGTTGACCCCAGCTCATCTGGATAACCTGAGCTAGATGAACATGCCAAGAAATTTCTGGGAAACCTGTCATTGCCAACATATGTGTCACAGGTTTCAACACTTGATGACTATTTCTGCTTAGGGCATCTGCTGTAGTACCTTCTTAGAAGCAGTTGGAAAACTTGTTTTAATTGTTTTTCCTCTAGTATCTTTAAAATTACTCTTAAAAAGCTTTTATTACATTGATTTACTTGTGTGTGTGTGCACATGCGTGTATTCAAATGTCACTGTGCACATGTGTTGATCAGAGGACAATGTGGGGAGGTCAGTTTTCTGTGTCTATGTGGTTCCTTTGGACAGCAAGTACCGGTACCTGTACATGCTGAGCCAGTCTCATAAATCCCTCTTTAAGCATTTTTTTTTCTTAGATAGGGTATCGCTACAGCTTGCTGTGTAGATGGGGCTGGCCTTGAACTCACATAGATCCTCATGCCTTTACCTTCGAAGTGCTGGGATTAAAGGCTTGTGCTTTTTTTTTTTTTTTTTTTTTAATACATTTTTAAAAATACAGTGTGTTGAAGCATGCTTGTGCAGGTCAAGAGACAACCTGCCATACTTGTTTGTCCTTCCACTGTGTAGGTGCTCATACTCAACAGTGCTTGTGGAGGTGGAGAGTCCAAGGTTAGGTCCTCAAGATGGCTCCGCAGGTCAAGGCACTTGCCTTTGCTGCCAAGCCTAAAGCCTGACTTCAGTCCCCAGAACCGGTATGGTAGAAGGAGAGAACTGAGCCTACGAGTTGTCATCTGACTTTCACTTTTGCATTGTGGGATATATGCACATGTGTGTACATGAGCCCCCCCCCCCCCCCCCCATTAACTACACTAAATGTTTTTATTTTAGGAACTGTGTGGGGGCTGGAGAGATGGCTCAGGCTAAGAGCACTAGCTGCAATTCCAGAGGTCCTGAGTTCAATTCCCAGCACCCACATGGTGGCTCACAACCATCTATAGTGAGATCTGGTGTCTTCTGCCATGCAGGTTGCAGATGGAACACTCATATACACAACCAATCAATCTTTAAAAAAAGAAAAAGAAGGTGTGGTGGTGCACACCTTTATTTCCAGCACTCAGGGAGCCAGAGGCAGGCGGATCGATCCGAGTTCAAGGCCAGCCTGGTTTACAGAGCAAGTCCAGGACAGCCAAGGCCGCACAGAGAATCCTGTATAAGAGGAACTTCTATTCGACTGCTTCAATTGTTGTCTTGGAGGCTTATTGCCTGTGTCTCCTAACCAAGGCCTAGTCCTGGAAACTTTTAGCCTATATACAATCTAACCTAGGCCTAGAATGTTTTCTGCTTCTGAGATTTACTGCTGAATAAGCTCACCCTTTCTTGTTCTTCCTGAGCTCTGGGCTGGCTGGTTCAACTCAGCTGTTCTGGCTCAGACTCCTCTCTCAGCTGACTTATTCAATCTGGCTTGTCTCTCAGTCCCTGAATTGCTCTACTTGGCCTCAAACTAACTCAAGCAATCGGCTCTGATCTCCTGGCTCCTTCTCATTCTCTAGTTCATTTGGTTTTCAGCTGAGTTGTCTCTCTGCAACCTGTGTCTCTTCTGTTATTGACCCTGTAAAACTGCCTCTTCTCTCTCTCACCCCTTAAGTTGTTGCCCTTTCCTCTCTCTTCTAATGAGATTGGGGCATATCCTATTCTGTCAAATCTTTCTCTGATTTGTCACTTTCTGCCATTCAATTAGACATCACTTTCAAACATGGGAGCTTCCTTGTACAACTAACATTACCTTCATTTGTTTGGGATTGTTTGGGATTAAAGACGTACCACCACACCTGGACCTAAAGTTTTCTTTACCTGATACTTGCTCTGTGTCAGTCTGGCCTTGAATTTAGATCTGCCTGACTCTGTTTCCTGGTTTAAAGGTGTGTTTATATTCCATCTTGATCACACAGACCTAGAAAGTCTTTGGATGTGATCTGTTGCCAAAACAGCCATGTTCTACATTAAAATTACAACCCTGTGTTAAAAAAAAAAAAAAGGTAGGGGGGAGAATGCAGAGAAGTTGATAAGATTTATATTTTGTTTGCTGTCACAGAAGTGCCTGCTCAAGTTGTTGGGTGGGTGGAGATAGGCTTTCCTTGCAGGGTCTCCTGAGTCTCTTCCACGAGGACTCAGGGGTAGGCATATGGAAGCAGTGAGAGTGCCGTGGGCTTTTCTCCTGCTTTTCTGTCTTAGGCTCACAGAATTTGAAGACACTCCCACCAGCCAGCTCACCATTGACGAGTTTATGAAGATTGACTTGGAGGAGGAGTGTGACCCTCCCTCGTACACGGCTGGGCAGAGGAAGCTGCGCATGAAGCAGGTGGCTCCACACCTCTGTTAGCACTCTAGTTTCCTAGAGCATGCTCTCTAACATCTTTATCTGTTGAGTTCTCTAGGCTGCTAACCTGGTCTTCTTTGCATCTTGAGAATGAGAGTCTTAGGGGTTATGCTGCATGTGGAACCTCTAATCACTGTCCATATTCAGGCTCCTGGTGAGCTGTTCATCCCTGGCTCGTTGAGCCCATCCCCACAGCCAAGCTTTGTTTCTGGTTTGTTCCTTATCGTCTGAGGCAGCTGCCACTGCAACTAGATTTTTTTTTTTTTCAATCATCATTGAGCTTGTGACTATGTTCTCATACTAGGACTGAACTCAATAGGGGAGAGCACAGAGGGCCAGAGGTGGGTTGTAGCTGAGTTTTAGGGACTACAGAAGTGTATTCCACAGATGGGGCAGCCCTGACCCTGCTCAGTCACGTTGGCTCTGGTGGGAGGTTAGATTCTAAGTTCTTGGGCATTTAGAAAGGCTGCTTCTGTCCAGGGCCACATGCATGTTGTCTGGAAGGAGAGGGCCAGGCCTACAGCTCCATTCTGACCACTACCCAGACCTCTGGCATCCCACAGCCTTGTCAACAATGAGGCCTTGAACATTTGACCCTTACCAAAGACCCCTTTGTCTTTCAGCTGGAACAGGTCCTGTCAAAAAAGCTAGAAGAAGTTGAAGGTAACGAACCAGTTCTCACGCAAGTGCTTCCTTTTTGGTAGAAAATCAACATGCTTACTTTTTGCTCTCTACTTACTATTTTAGGTGAAATATCCAGTTACCAGGATGCCATTGAAATTGAGTTAGAAAACAGCCGACCAAAAGCAAAAGGGGCTCTTGCCAACTTGTCAAAGGATGGTGAGTCCTCCCTGCCATTATGGGCCATGAGGGCCCTAGGCAAGCACCCCTGACCTTCCCTAGTCACTGAGCCATGACCCAACCCCTGGCTGCTTGTCATTTCCTACACTGAGGCACTGAACTGCATATCAGGTTATTGTGGAACACTCTTCCCCACTTATTCATTCACTGGCTGCAGAAGAGCCTCAGCCTTGCATGTGCTGCAATGAGGCCCCTGCTGTCCATTCAAGCTGTTTGCAAGGCTGTTTCCAGGGGTGTTCTTACTCATGCCCTTGTGCTGTCTGCCCCTGATGGACCACATAATCCCAATGTGGGCTTTTCAGAGCTGCTATAACCATTTGTGTTGCTAGATAACTCTCTTCTGGGCTGTGCAGAATGAAAGTGTAAGTGCCTCCTTTTTTCTTGGCATCTGGTCTGGGAAAGCTACTCTGGGCATCCCTGTGATTGCTCTCCTGTGCTCTCTGCCCATCAGACTGGCACTGCATTAACTTCCCGAGCCATGCCAGACAAGTGAAATGTCCGTTGTGCTTCCCCTCAGTGTTTGCGGACACTTGCTGTGCTCTGTGTCCACATTAGAATCACCTTGTCCACCCCTCTCCACCTATGTCTGTCTCACTTGTCAGCTTGGGGGAAGCTACAGAGTTTGTCTTTCTGTTCTGCTCTAGCTTCCTTTCTCTCTGGGCTTTGCTTCTGTGCTAGTACCATATTTCTGTCTTCCATATGGCTGTTGTAAGTAGTGTCTTTCCTTCTTTGGTTCCCATAGCAACTTGCAGCTTGACAATTCATTGACTTCTGTGTCTGTGTGCTGACTACTGAACTCTTGTCACTAGTTTTCAGTCACTTTGCCATTGGGTTTTCTAAGTACTTATTTCTGTCATCTACACATAGTGATTCTACTACTCTTCTCTAGCAGCTCTTAATTTCTCTCTTGAGTCTGCCTGACCCTGCGGCATCTTACTGGCTTTGGGGACAGCAGTTTATCTTCACTTGCTCCTGTGGACTAGAGTGCATGCACTGGGCAAGTTGTTCCCTTATCTGTCATGGTGAGTAAATGGCCTCCCATGCACTGCTGTCGAGAATTTTCTTAGCTCCATGCGAGTGAGGGTTTCAAAGGATCACAGGAGTTCCTGCAGTGGGTGAATATGATCCGGTGTGCTGACAAGCACTGGGTTCTTCCTCGTGCCTGGAAGTCATCATTTGGGCCTCAGGGGCTGCTCTATTCACACCCATCGAGGGCTTTGATCTCTGTGTTTGCTGCTTTCGATTTCTCTGTGATCTTTTCTTAACCTACATAGTCTTGTTTTTTACCTAGGTTATTGATTGTTGAGTAAGCCATCTCTTGCATGTACATAGTCTGCTGCCTTCTATTTACTAGGTCAGTTATTACTGCCTGGCTCCGCCCTTCTAACCTTCCTCCCCCGTCCAGGTCACTTGGCTGACTTCTCTGTTCTGAGTCTGCTGGCCGCATTTGGGGCAGTGAACTTCCTGTGAGAACTGTCCTGTTTCATGGTGTCAAGATATTTCCTCTCTTCTATATGTGAGGGAGCTATGGAAATTCTGGGGGTAAGGTGTGTTCTGATAATGATTATTAACTGCTACTTGTGTTGTGCAATAATCAGGAAATATTGTTGATTTGTTCCTCTTTGGTATTTCTTGGGTATGCAGTATCCATAGACACTGCAGAGAAGCACCTTGTGCTATGGGCACAGGGGTGAGGCTGTCCCACCATCTCTATTAATAGATATTGAGAATCTGCCACATAGTGGCTCTCCTTGAGAGCTCTGACCCTCCCTCCCTCCCTTTTGCCATCGGCCCCCTCATTTACATAGAAAGCCGCTGCCTTGTTATGGTTCCCAAGGCCTATCTTCTACCAGAGGCACTCAGCTACCATCAAGCCTAGAGGCCTATCCCCTGGGGCACACACAGGCCCAGGCATCACTAAGTCTGCCTGTCCTCCTGGGGAACTTTTCCAACACAGCAGAGACATGTTTGTGCCTTAATTCAATCTGGAGCATCCTTTTTCCTAAAGTGGTTTGAAGTCAAGTGATCTACTCAATAAGCCTTTTTAGTAGAGTTCTCTTGGTCTTAGCTGTCTGTTCTAATGTCCTTGCTGTAATTTTTTTATTCCTCCTTTTCTTGAACTGTATCGGTGTTCCTCTTCCACACATCCTGACTTTGGAACACAGCAGAAAGCAACTAGCCAGATATTCTGGGTCAGAATATACCGGCTGGGCCAGAAATGTGTCTTTCAGACCAAAGGTCAGAAGGTGTAGCGCGTATGCTGCAGGCTGTGTATGGATCTGAAGCACCTTTGGCTTTTTGAGTTTTGACTGTGGACATGCCTGATGTCAGGTAAGGTCAGCGCCACAGTCACTGTGGTTCCAGACCTGTCGCTGCCACTCTCTTTGTGTCCTTTGTAATGGCACTGCACCTTTCCATCCTGTTCCAGGCTGCCACTGGCTGCTCTCTGTCATTGAGTTAGTAGTCTTTTCTGCAGAAGTTTTTTATAGACACAACGTTCCCTTGTCTTTCCTCAGCATCATTTTCTGTTGCCCATTGGCAGTGTGGTCCTTTGTTTTGTGAGGCTGCTGTAAGTGCGGTGAGGGGCTTACCACGCTTATTGAGTAGGTTTGTGTTAGTTCCAGATAAACATGCATGCAGTCCCTGTCAATATTTTTTCCTTGGTGTTGGGCAGAATGGAATTGCTGGGTCTGGTTGAGCTGCTGTTGGCAAACAGTTTGTACAGCAGCCACCACTGTTCTCCCCCGTCCGCGTGTGTGAGGCGTGTGTGAGGCAGCGCTTCTCTTTTCTCTCATTGTCCCTGGTAAGGCCACCGATGTGTACAGTGTGAATTCTCATCCGTCGGAGACCTAGAAGACAGCTCTCATGCTCTGACTTGGTCTAGTTGGAGTATCTCTCAAGGGCCTGGTCATGCCCTCTTTTGCTCTTCTGCCTTTTGTGTGTTCTCTGTGTGTTCTCATGTGGTCTGGCAGGTCTTTCTTTTGGTCCATTTTAATTTGGGTTCTATGTTTGCTGAGCATAAGCACTCTTTACATGCTCTAGGCTGTCCTTTCAGGCATTATCTACAAGAAGCTTGCCTCACCTGTGTCTGGACAGTATCTTTCACAGGGCTGCATTATAATTGATTTACAAAAATCATAGTTTTTTTTTTTTTTTTCAAAATCTATGTGTGTTTTGTGGGTCTGCTTTAGTGTTGGTGAGGTGTTTTTGCCTAACCCTAGCTCACAGACATTTTATTTGTCTTTCCTGAATATTCTTGCACTCTCAGATACCACATTTAGCTCAGCTTTTGCACAGAGCATGAGGAATAAACCGAGCTATTGCACGTGGGCAGCCAACACCGTTTGCTGGCAGGACCATGCTTTCTCTGCTGCAGAAAAAGGGCATGCTTTTTGGTAGTTTTTATGTTCTTGGTTATTTTGCAGCTTTGCAAAAATGTTTCTGTTACAAAAGTGGGTTCTCTCTGGCTTTCTGCCTGGTTGACAGGTGGTGTGCGAATCGTGTGTCCCTAGGCTCCGGTGAGGATGCCACGTGCAGCCCATTCTGTGAGGAGGACACTGAGGACGAAGAGCTGGAGGCTGCTGCCAGCCACATGAACAAGGACTTTTACCGAGAGCTCCTGGGGCATGATGGTGGCTCAGAAGCAGCAGAAGGCCCTGATGGGGGCAGCAGGCCCCTCGCCCTGGAGTCCCTACTTGGCCCTCTGCCCACAGCAGCCAGCCTGGGCATCTCCGACTCCATTCGAGAGTGCATCTCCTCCCCAAGTGGGGACCTCAGTGAGTGCCTGGGATAGGGGAAGTTTATAGTCTGAATGGTCCCTGCTGTGGATTGAACCAGAAATACCGTGGGCTGGAGTAAGGCACTGCTAGGCCCTGCACAAGTCACTGGGCCCGGGTGCCCTAGTGTCCTTTATCTTACTGTGATAGATACCCTGTCAGAAGCAGCTATGGGGAGCAGCTATAGCTCACAATTCCAGGTTATAGCACATCATGTCAGGGAAGCCAAGGCAGGAACTCAAACAACTAATCACATCACATCAGTAGTTAATAACAAAAAGAAAATAAACACATCATTGCTTGCTTGTTCCTACATAGCTTTCTCTGTCTTATCTAGTTTAGGACTGACTCCCTGCCTAGGGAATGGTGCCACCACAATGATCTGAATCTTTCTATATCAATTATCATTCAAGATAATGCCTCACAGACTTGCCTTCAGGAAGACCTGATAATGATGGTTATTCAGTTGAGACTCCTTTCCCAGTGATTATAAATTGTGACTAGCTGACATCTAAAACTAACCATCACACAGGGTAAAGAGCTAGGTATGTGCCAACATGCTGAGATGCCAGCTGGCCTTGTCCCCATCGTAAGCTCCCACTAGTCCAGCTGTTTTGGCCAGCTGGCTTATGGTGTGGCTCAACTTCAGTGGCTACCAAATGACTAAGAGAGGGTCTGGCATAGCCTGGAGTCATACAGGTGGAGGGGGACCAGGTCATTTCTGATCCTTCCCTATTTGCTGGGGTGGGAAAGCCTGTGATGAGCTGCATCTTCACTGTCAGTACCACCTGCTGAGCTTGAGCATGGCCGGGGGTGGGGGGGACATAAAGACCAACAATTGCCCCTGCCACCCTGTAGGCCAGATCCCTACAGCTTCTTGCCCTTCACCTTTAAAACATTGGGAAGAGGGCTGAGATAATGACTCTGAGGTTAACAGCACTGGCTGTCCTCTGAAAGGACCAAGGTTTGATTCCCAGTACCCACATGGCAGCTCTGGTGCCAAGAGATCTGATGCCCTCTTCTGGTTTCTAGAGGCACTTCACACATGTGGCACACAGGCATACATTGCAGGCAAAAACACCCATACACACAAAATAAAATTGATGATAAATAAATCATTATGAAGAAGCTCTAGGACAGGGCTCTGGGAGGGTAACTGGTCCCATCCCTGTAATCTCTGGCTCTGGCCCCTGATCAGGCAAGAGGGTTGGGCCTCTCAAATGGATGGAGCCATTCAAAGGTAGGGCTTGTATGAGGGGTAGACATCTCAGTTGGGGAGGCAGAATGTGTCACCTGTGGGCCAGGTTATATAGAGGACAGTTGGGTATCTGCTTCTGAGGGAGCAGGTAATTCAGAATAATACAAAGGGACTTGGCAATCTGAGCATGGGGAGCCCGGAGCGGAAAGCAAGGGACTTCAGAGAGCCTTGAGGGGTGGTCTGACCACTGATGAGTAACCCCAGGGCCTCAGCCATAGAGCTGAAGAAGACACCTCAGATGTCCCTGGGTGGGCTGCCCCTTTGTCCCAGCCTTGAGTCCCAAGCATCCCCATAGTGAGCAGTGTCTGCAAGGGCAGCCTCTGTGACACTGACCAGGGTTCTTCTCTCTAGAAGACGCTTCAGGGGATGGGGAGCTGGACCTCAGCGGCATCGATGACCTTGAAATTGACAGAGTAAGTGAGCCTGGCTCTTCTTGTCCCCAGTGACGGTTGGGACTTAAGGAGGCTAAGTTCTAGCTTCAGGACCAGTCACTTGCCTTTAGCCTCTCCGAGCCTTGTGGCTTTCTCAGACATTCCCTGACAGGTGAGTGGTCTCAAGGTGTAGTGCCTACGGTGTCTCAAGATGCAGACATGCTGCTAGACAGCCTTCTCCAAACTCCATTCCAAGGCAGTCTCAATTACCATATGCATTTCCTTTTGAAACCTCAAGCAACCCCAGCAGGACCATATTGGAAAGGCCTGAGTTCTGCACCTGGCCATGGTTCCTGTTGCATCCCAAGTGTGCTGTACATTTCTAATTCTCACATATCCGGGTTCTAGGCTGTACACTGACACTAGCTGTGTATCTCAGAGATCTGTCCACAAGGTCCAAGAGCTATCAGTACTGGCTCATGGCTGCAGGGTGACGTTGGCAGAGAAGTACAAAGGATGGCAGGTTTCTGTGCTGAAGGGAGGCCTTCCCACATCCTTTCTTTAGCAGTTTAAGCATATAAATAGGAAACTAGTTGCTGAGAGATCTTGAATTCTTGAGAGCCTAACCACAGATAGCTGATACCACTTCACTGTTCTTCCCTCAGTACATCCTAAATGAGTCAGAAACCCGTGTAAAAGCCGAATTGTGGATGCGGGAGAATGCTGAGTACCTGCGGGAGCAGAGAGGTGAGTACCATCCATCCCTCATCTGCACAGGTCCTGGGACGTGGCCCGTCGCCCTTGCTGAGGCCAACTATTTTGTTCAACTTACAGAAAAAGAAGCAAGAATAGCAAAGGAAAAGGAGCTTGGCATCTATAAGGAGCACAAGGTGGGTGCCTCTTGACTGACTATCTCAGCCTTAGTGTTGACCAATAGGAGGAAAGGACTTTGGGAACAGCTTGCCTCTACGTCCATAGGAGTCTCTGAGGGACAGGCAGTGGAAGCCGTAGAACCTACATACCTGGCTGCTTGTTGTGTTAGTTGCATACTCCATCACAGATGGTTGGTCCACCCAACTTTGGAGTGAGGAGGTATCCTGTGCAGGTCTTAAGGCAGACAGAAATGAGATACAGGGCTGGACTCAGAGGTCCCTGGGCATGAGGTCCTTGTTGAGGACACAAAGCCTTTAGATTCCTTTCCCCTAACTGGGCTGCCTTGTCTGGCCTCAATAGAAGGTGTGCCTAATCTTACTGTATCTTGATACGCCAAGGCAGGTTTGGTAGGTCTTTCCTTTTCTTTGGGGGGGGGGGGGGTTGGGGGCTGGGGGCTGTCAATGGGACGTAAAGTAAACAATTTTTTTTTTTTTAAATTAAAAAAAAAAAGCCCTTATCTTCATGCCCGTACTCTGATAGCAGGCGGGCAGTCTTGGTAACTTGGCTCAGTTGCTCCTCTGGAGCCTTAGGAAGAGGCTGGATTTTTTAGAAGCCAACTGAGAAGAGGGTGTGACACTGACAAAGCTTCTCAGTGTCCAGGATGGAGGCCCAGAGAACAAGTGGTACCTGTCTCAAAGGAGGACTAGAGACTTAGGCAGGGACATGGGTCTCAAAACTCCATACCACTAGGCATAATGTTTAATGCTCTGTGAGGCACTTTCCTTTTTTCTTTACAAGAAAGGCTTAGCTGGAAAGGTAGATATGCAGAAAGTGAGGTAGTGTATGCCGGGGCTGGGAGCTTCCAGGGTGATCCAAGCCAGCTTCCTCCGGGCGGGCTGCCACTGTGGCTCAAGAGTGGATGGTGGTTGTAAAGTGAGCACATGATGGAAGGGTTCACTTTTGTGTTTGGTTCAGCCCAAGAAGTCTTGCAAACGCCGGGAGCCAATCCTGGCCAGCACGGCTGGGGAGGCCATTGAGAAGATGCTGGAGCAGAAGAAAATCTCCAGCAAGATCAACTACAGTGTTCTGCGAGACCTTAACAGCAAGGGTGGGGGCAGCCCACCCAGAGAGGACTCACAGCCCCCAGAGCGTGCTGGCACCAAGAAGCTGTCACGGAGGAAAAGAGCAGCTAGCAGGAGTAGCGCTGATCCTGGGACAAGCACAGGGAAGAGGTACCATCTCTTGACCACCTGGGAAGAGGCCAGCAGAGGACTAGGCAGGCCACTGTCTGGGCTTTAGGCAAGGAGCCATACTTTCCCAGTGTTGGCTGAATGCTAACAAGCCATCTCCAGGTGTGAGTGTGCCTTGATCCCCTCACTTCTGGGTCCCAGGGTTGAGAGGCTTCTGGGAGCAGCAGGATCTACTCCATCCCCAGAAAGCAGTTGGACACTCAGTGGAAATGGGCTTTTCTAGCCCTGCCACACCTACAGTCCTCTGGACAACTTAAGGCTGCACCTTTGACTCTGCTGGGAGGGAGGAAGCAGCCATAGTTACAACTCTGGTGTGGACAGAAAATTGATCCTGGGCCAGAGCTGGGTCAGGGTTGCTCTGCGTCTTGACACAGGGATATGTGGAGGTTGCTGGCCTGCAGGTGGTCCTCCTGTGCTGACTTACTCTTGGGACGTACCTGCCACCTTTCTTAATGAGGTCCCAAGATAGTTCATTCTCTTAGTTCTGGAGACAGGTGGGACACACAGTGTGACTAGCGTCCGCCCGCCCTGAGCCTCTTAGGAGGTGCTGCCTACTCAGTCTCCATGTTTTAATTAGCCATAGCTTGTCCAAGGAAGAGAGCCAGAGGTGCATTCATTTATCTTACTGGGCCAGACATCCCTATGTCTATTGTGTTGCTTCCCTTTTGCTCTTGGTAGAATACAAAGCTATCGTAGTACCCAGAAGGCAGAGGTAAGAGGATGGTGAGTTCAAGGCCAGCCATGGCTATATAGCAAAACCCAGTCCCCAATGAAAAACTAACTGGAAAGATGGCTCAGTGGTTAAGAGATGCCCAAGCTCAGTTCCCAGCCCCCATGTCAGCTTCTGTAACCCCAGGGCATCTGATATTCTCTTTTGGCCTCCACAGGTGGTATCCATACATGCGTGACATACCCCCTACACACACATTTTCTCTCTCTCTCTCTCTCTCTCTCTCTCTCTCTCTCTCACACACACACACACACACACACACACACACAGTAGGGGTGTGGGTGTGGTGAAGTGGCGTTGAAAACAAGCGAGCACCAGGAGTGATGGTACACGCCTTTAATCTTCACACTTAGGAGCCAGAAGCAGATGGATCTCTGATTTCAAGGCCAGCCTTGTCTACATAGTAAATTCCAGGCCATTTAGGCTATGTGGTGAGACCATACCTCAAGAGGAGGAAAAGAAGAAGAGGAAGGGAGGCAAGAAAGCAAACAAACAATACTAAACTAGCAGTGTGTGCTGGTTCTTTTTAGTCTGGCCATTTTACAGCTTTTGAGGTTGGTAGCATGTTCATGAAGTTCTTTTCTGTGTGCAGATTGTGAAAGGGGTAAACTACCTATAAGTGATATGTGCATGTGTGTTTGTGTGTTCTGAATCAAGGTCTTACTTTGTAGGCAAGACTGGCTTGAGCTTTTGACTCTTCTGCTTCCATCTCATGAGTGATAGAGTTACAGGTGTGCACCATTCCTCCAGGCCTTAATATTTTATATCTTAAGTCTGATCCAAGCTGGAACTTATTTTGGCAAAAGGAGTAAGGTGAAAATCACATTCAAGTTTCTGGGTGGGTACTGTCTCTCAGAAGCTCATCTTGCAGTTGGCTCAGGTGGCCCAAGGTTCCTGTCACCCAGCTGCTGTCTGCTTTACTTTGTACAGCCTGGTCCTGTTTTGTGGGCCAAACTCTTGAGAACATTTTTGTACATGGCCTGTTATTTTTGTCCACGATCCATGAGATGTCTAGGCTAGGCCTCTTCCCACTGTCACTCCCAGCACTTGTTGGTCACAGGCCATGTCCTTACATGTTCCCCCAGCCCCTGCTGGTGGTGCAGTTGTCATAGGGTCTTCCTCTGTAGGATCTTTCTGTGCTGCTTTCCAGCTGCTTCTGTATATGGGCAGGTACTTAATGTCCCTCCATCCGTTATGTTCCCAGAACCTGTTGTGTGTCTCCTGTTGCTCACAGGGCCTCCTTCCCTTGACCCCTTGGTGCCCAGGTTGGCTGTTTGCTTACCCATCTATGCTGACGATACTGAGTACCAAGAGTGCCAGCATGGCTGCTTTAGGCAGGAACTTCCTCAGAAGGGAGTTGGAGTTTTTCAGCTGCCCTTTCAGTCTCTTTGTAAGACCATACAGCCTCTCTCTTTGAGATTACTTAGTAGAGAACTGTGGATTGAGTTTCTATTGTAGCTCTTCTTTGCACATGTGGTAGGTCAGATGGGGAAGGAAGCAGGGCTCTGACCCCTGCCTTGGCCACCCAGAAAGCATTCTCAGTTCTGCTTATTCTGCTTATTGAACCTCTATCCTTATCTGCCTAACTGCAGCTAGAAATGGACACAGAGAGTATGTGATGGCTCTGAGCACTCACGGGTCCAAGTTGAAGAACAACTAAGCCTCTGCTGTCAGTGCTAAGAGTGTCTTGTTTTAGTGTAGTGATTCAGGATCCTTTGTGGTCATGCGGCCAGGTAGATGGGAAGCTTGCTAGAGTCAGAGTTTGTGAGTATCCTATTCATGTACCTGCACATGGCCAAGAAGGGAGGAGCCTGATGGATCTGCATTTTTATATTGTGTTTCTATCTCTCCCACCCATAATAGAATGATGGCAGGCATTGATTAATGCAAGACAACAGGTTAGATGAGGATTGGACGCAACAGCAGTGGTGTTCCAGGTAGTAAACTGAGGAACAGGCAAGAACTACGGTCAGCAGAAGGCCTAAGGGTAGGAAAAGAGACTGGAGTAAGATGCCATGGAAGATGTGTTGGAGTGGAGAGGAATACAGTCAGGTAGAGATCAGCCGTCCTGCTAAAGGCACATTGCACAAAGCTCTATCTATAGGTATGCGGATAGGACCACTGAGTTCTTCCTTGTGTGCCCTGAGTGGATGCCAAGCCCACCACAGTGATAAACTAGCAGAACAGTGGAAGTTCTGTGTCTCTGGGAAGGAATACCTGTGGAGTGGCAAGGGTGGTCCCATTGTGTAGCTGGACCTACCATGAGACCATGCATCTGCCTAGTCAAGGTCTTCAGTCCTGCCAGTCAATGATGGCTCTCGGGCAGGCATGAACTGAGGCTATAGACTGTGAACCTGCCTAGACAGGTCCTCAGTTCCTGTGTTGTTCACACACACATACACACACACACACACACACACACACACACACACACACACACGCACTATAACTCCCCCACCAGCCTGAACTGAAGTTGCTTCTATACTTTCTTTCAGGTTGAGGCCTCTGGTGTCTGCACAGCCCACTAAGAAGGCAGCTGTGGGAGAGGTATGTTGTCCTGCACAGCTGGGGCAGGGCCTCAGAATCACAAGTTGCCATTAGGCTTGGCTTGGAGAGGCCCAGCTTGTTGCTGCTACAGTGCTGGTCGGCACTGTACAGTTCAGCAGAGAGTCCTGAAGCTCAGGGTCTGAGGGCTTCTGGGTCACAGAAGTGGTAAGGGCCGGTTATATCCTGCTGCTCTAGGGCTGAGGGTGAGCTAACCCCACTGTCGACTAGTTGGGCAGAGGCTAGACTGCATACCACAGGGCGCTCCCTCTGTTGATAATACTGTTTGGGAAAAACAGGGCTGGCACTTCATTGCTCCAGGAGACCAGAAGGCGTTCATGCATAGTAGGATGTGGCTGACCCTCTGACCAGCTCAGATGTGGGGCAGGGGCTCTGAGGAGTGTCCATGCACAGACTGAGAGAACCTCAGGGTCCCTTATAGTCAGGAGGGTAGCACACATTCTGCTTTTATCCCAGAGTTGGGCCCTCTCTTTCCAGGCCTTGCTCTTAAGTTCTCCTGCTTTGGGAGCTGAGCCCATCAAGCCGTCAGCAGTCTTGGTGGAGAGTGGCCCTGTGTCGTACCATCCTGAGGAGGATGCAGATGAGGAGGATGCTGAGGAAGAAGATGGGGAGCCCTGCGTCAGCGCTCTTCAGATGATGGGTGGCAATGGTGGGTAGGGCCTACCTGGTCATGGGCCCAATGCAGGGACTCTGAGTCACAAAGACATAGCCATTTACCTGAGTTATTTTCAAGTATGAATGAGCCCACTGGCCACAAACTTAAGTTTCTCCCTGCAAAAAAAAAAAAAAAAAAAAGGAATTAGAACAGGGACACTGAAAATTGGCCATATTGATTCTGAGGCCCTTAAATATGCTAGAAGGAACTAGGCAAACACTAGGAGGCCAGCTCCACAGGGAAAGTGAGGTATCTGCTATGAAGATCATGGTTTCTAGACTTGTTGGGAGTCAGCCAATAGGAAAATGTCATGGGCTGGCCATGACATTTGTTACAGTGCCCAGCAAGGAGCCAAGGCCTCTCCACAGGCCAGTCCACCAGCCCAAAGACATGTGGGACTAGATTGAAATGATGGTCCTTCAGTTGGTAGGGCCTGTGAGATGAGCAGTGGGGTTAGAGTTGGGAGCTGGGGCATGAGGGTTGCTCCCCATGGCAGCAGAAGGCTACCTGGACTTTCACCACTGTCATCTGTGCTTTGCAGATTATGGCTGTGATGGTGATGAGGATGACGGCTACTGAGTGGAACTCAAGGCCAGGCAGCATCCTGGTGCTGGACTCCAAGTGTGTTTGTCTTACGGCGGTCAGATGGGCCCTGGGACCACAGCTCACAGGCATGATTCCTGAGACTCGACCAGTCAAGCACTGCCCCACTTGATTTGAAGCACTCTTCCCATGGCCACATTGTGGCCCCATCGGACTTACTGTTGGGAATCATGTTTTGAGCAATGTAAGGGATATTTTTGCCCAGCAAAGGAAACTAGCTGTGTGTTTATGTGTAGTGAAACATAGTCAGGGAGTAGCCAGGTCTGGATCCCAGTTCATGGCCTAGCCCACTAGTCATTGTTCAACAGAAATCGTCAGGCAGTCACTGCATGCTCCCATCATAAGAAGATGGACGCACAAGGGCTTCAGTCAAGAAGCAGAGCCCTGGTCTTACCTGCTGCCTGTGTTCTCTGCCCTGCCCTTCCCATCCTGGAGAGAGAGGTATTGGGCAGGACACATGTGGCCATTAATGATCTGTTCTAGGCAGCCATAGTGTGGAGCCCCTGCCTGGAACTGCAGCTCCAGCTTCCCACCATCTCCAATGCCCATCTACTGTCTTCAGCCACTGAGACCATTACAGTCTTTAGCCTCTTGCTTAGGACTCATAAGTAGTGTATTCATGAGCCCTTGAGGCTACTCAGTGGCAGATTAGTCAAGTTAATCAGTGCCCAGAAAGTAGAGACCAGCAGGCCAAGCATGCCTTCATGCAGTTTCCTGCTGATGTCCAGCACAACCTGTGTGGAGTCTGGGTCCTACTCCTGCCCCATCACTTAGAATGAGCCTTTAGTACTGAACCAAGGAGCCAAGGAGCCTACAAGCTGTCTCCTGGGCTGAGACTGAGTACTTGACTGTTTCAGAGGTGGGGCCAGGCCTGAGATGCTGAGCCGGGGGTAGCTGCAGACAGAAGTAGACAGCAGGACAGATAGGAAGTGATTTTGATGAGAAGATTGCAGGATGGCTTTGGATTCTACCTGGGATGCGTAACTGTAGTCAAGGGCCCTTCCCGGAAGTGAGGTCAGAACCGTGGTAGAGTGTTTTAGGACTTGCCTGTGGCATAGAGAGAGTATGGATGAGAGGTAAGAGCTGAGGACATAGAGACAAGTACCCTGGGAAGGAACTGAGACCGGCTCCCCAGCTGTGCCTTGTCTGCCAGGAGACAGCAGGAGGAGGGCTTGTCTGTGCTGGGAAATAAGCAAGGGCCAGTAAGGCAAGAGTGGTGGTGTGAAGTAATTGAATTCCTTATCACTGTGGATAGAGTTGAAGAAAGTTGGGGCCGAGGGAGGGGGACAGTGGTGAGGACTGTCCCTAGAAGATAGGTGACATATCTTCTTTGTGGAAGGGTCCTAAAATGGTTGAGGAGTAAGGTCCCAGTAGGGGGCAGCAGTGAAGTAGGCAAGATGCCTCTGAGCTGAGGTCACAGCCTTGTATTTGAGCCACCAGCAGCACTAATGTGAGGTTCCAGGAGGCACTGTGTCTTTATGACCCCATTCTGCATGCAGTTAATCCATTTCTGTGTGTTCTTTTCTGACTGGGATTATCACAGTAGGATCCCTCTGCCTGGGATCTTCCAGAGTGCCTCAGACAGCCTCCTGGGGAAGAACCAGGCCTCACCACACTGAACCTTAGAAAAGGGGAAGAGGGAAGCCATTGGATCCTGCATTCTAGACTGGGACCTTGTCTGGTGTGCACACTTCAGTGCTGAACAGACAGGGAATCTCCCAGACTCCCCTGTCCTCTCCTACTGCCCTCCTGCCAAGCAGAGGGAGGTGCAGGGGAACTACCTATAGGATGCACTGTCCAAGTTCCCTGCCAGCAACATGAACAGAGGAGCCTAGTATTTGGTTCTCACCACCATCCTGTGCAAACTGGGTGGTCACTGGGACAAGACAGGAACAGTCAGCAAGGTTCCTGATAACCCTAGATGGCTGAGGCTCGGCAGAGTGTGTGCCTGTCTTTAGGGGTAACTGGGGCTCCTTCCAGGAGCCGGGCCACAGAATGAGAAGTTACAGCCACGTGAAGCTTTTGGCCACTGTTCCCGCTTGGAGTTGTTCCCTCCAGAGCGTGGGGCCCATTGTCCAGCCTATGATGGGCCCTGATTTTCTAACCCAGCTGTTTGACCCACTGCACACCTACTAGAGCAGGAGTGAAATGAGTCCCCCATTGGGCCACTCCTTTGCCCAGATACCTGTCCAGGAACCATGGGACATACATGCCTTGCCCAGTGGGAGAGAAATGAATGGAATGGAGCATGGGTCCAGCTGGATGGCTATCTGCCACCCTCCAAGTTTTGCCTCTGTGCTTGAAGTCTCTGTTACCAAATGCTTGGCTAGATGGCGTGGACCCTGCAAGAAACTCCCTGAGGCCAGAGAAGCAGGGCCTCAATGGGTGTTGCTACTGAGGGAATGGAGTGCCTGCATCTTAGGATACCTGTTAAACCCAGCATTTTTCCTCTGGCCTCCCTTTTAAGAGGCATAGAACAGGAGTTAAGAAAGGGGCACTGAAGGAGGTTGCTGTTTGTAGATCGCTTCCTTCAGAATAGATGACCTGGGTTCTAATTGCTCTCTGCTCAGCAGTTTCTGCTGAGTTAGGCCCTAGACAAAGGGACTATAGGCAGTAGCTGGAACTGGAGCTAGGGTGGTTTCTCAGGGGTCCTTCCAGTATAGGGATTCAAGACTGGGCCAGCCCCTGAAGTCCTTGACTTTAGTGAAGAGATCCAGACAGCTAAACCCCATTGGATATCTAGAGCCACAGCCTACTTCAGTCCCATAGCCCCTCTATAATCCTTGCAAGCTCTGGGCACACCTCAGCTGGAACTAAATACCCTACCTAAGTTAGGGTAGAGGGCAGTCTGACTTCATTTGTCCCTCCTTGGCCCTCTCTGAAGCCTTGGGGTATAACTCTTGTCAGGCAAGCCTGTGGCATGAACCCAAATCTTGGGTCTCTTCTGGGCACAGACAAAACACCTGCTTGCTTAGTTTCCAACCCATTTTTGTGACTGCTGGGGTGGAAGGCAACAAGGTAGTCTTCCATACCCCATGAGTGAGGGCCTCTGATGGCTGTCCCAGGTGCGGTGACTGCAGTACAGGTTACTTATGGCAATAGTGGTGTCTTTTGAGGGTATCCCTACTTACCTACTGTGGCTCTTTTTGGCCCGCTCCTCTGCACCTATCTTAGCAGCCTCCTCCAGGGGCCCAGCCAAGGACAACAGTCTTGCTCCAAGGAAGCCCTGGATAACGCTGACCTTGCTTATCCCTGTCAGGGCTGGGGTTTCCACATGACCCTGGAGGCAGGCAAGCATGATTTTAGTCAGTCGTGAGAGTGTACACTTCAGATGGTTGCTGCCCCTGAGCCTCCCCGGTGGTCTTGACCTAGGTGGAGTTTAATATTCAGTACCATTGTTTTGTGGGGTCACAGACCAGAGCCCAAAGCCAGCAAGTCCTTATGTTACACTGCACTGGGCCAGTAAACCCCAGTGGGGGTGGTGAAACAGCAGGGCAGATGTTTCAGCAGTATCAGGCCAGCTGGGCAGAAGCGGGTGTGGCACAGTGGAGTGAAGGAGGAGCCAGGTCCAGGACTGGACCTCAGAGGTACGGGATCCATGTGTATACCAGCTGCCTGGAGCTGAACTGGTGTTATTTGGCCACAAGCGTGGGTGGTGGGTGTGGGTGCGCCCTCTCGTGGCTATGTGCAGCGGTGTTTCTGAAGGACTTCGCTGGATGTACTCTAGCAGTCAGAGCTGGCCTCAGGTACTTTCACTGCTTGGGTGCTGCAGTAGAATTGGCCCTATCCCTGGACCCTCCCCCTCTGCAGTCCAACAAATAAAAGGTGCTCCTGAATCAGGCAAGCTTAGAGGACTGCCAGGGGTGCGGGCTAGCACACAGCTGGAGCAACACGCCTCCCAGGCTTCGTTAGTCCTAAGGTACCAACACCCTCTAACCTACCAGTTCACAGCCTGTGGGTAACAACTTTGAGAGTCGAATGACCCTTTCAGGGGGGTTGTTTAAAATCATCGGAAAATACAGATATTTACAATTCATAACAGTAACAATGAAAAAGTGATTTATGGCTTGGAGGGGGCAGTTCATAACATGAGGAAGGTTGAGAACCACAGCTTGAACCCCTTATCTATCCCACAGGACTCGGCCACTATGTCAAAGTGCCCAAGCATCTTAGGGGCCACTGTGGTATCAAGTCTAAGTACAGTAGTTGGGGGTCTTCAGTCTATGGGGAATGAGTTGTGCACACAGGGGCCTCAGCTGTTTGCCTGCGACTGTGTTCTAGTGAGGTGGGCCACTTGATCGGGTTTGCTTCATCAGAGCCTGTCTGTACCCTGAGCCACATGCCCGAAGGGCCAGCTAGTCCCTAGGGTGCCTGGGACAGGCTGGCAAAGGGTGAGACCAGGTTCTAAGCTGCACTTGGCGCCAGAGGCCTGCCCAGGCCTTCAAAGGGGCCGTGGGCAGTGGTAATGGGCAGACTTTATGGTTTTCCTGTTGAGAGAGGAACCTAGCTCAGGGGAGCTATTGTCCCCAAACAATGGGCCTGGCTAAGACCCATAAGGGCAGTGGCCCCAAGCTGGGGGACCTCATCTATCTCGACCACCTCCTACTTTCAGTCCTCAACCTGACCTTGAGTCTTGCCTGTCCTGAGCCTTATTCTGCCATACTCTTGGTTCCTCCCATCCCAGATGACCCTGGCCGGAGAGGAGCATGGAGGTCCTCCCAGAGCGTCTCCAAAGGGCTTTACTGCATAATGTGCCTTATGTCCCAGCCCACCTTGAAGGCAGCAGAATGAAGAGGGTGTCAGTGGCCCCTGAGCAGCGAAGCTGAGCTCCAGGGCCAGCCCTGCTGTTTGATGGCCCAGGAGGCCCCAGCTTGGGCCAAGTATGAAGAAGTCTGGCAGGCTGAAGGCAGGTGTAACTCCTGTTCCCTAGTATGAAGGTTATAAATAGCTATCTGCCAGGCACCTGGCCTCAGCAGAGCCTGGAGAGATTATCACAGCCTGACCACGTAGCATGTCTGGGGGAATGGCCAGGTTCCCCTGCCCTGGGGAGCTAGGTTGACCCATGCGCCCTAGCATAGGTACAAGCAAGGGTCAGACTAATGAGTGGAGGTGCAGCCTGTGATAGCCGTTAAGCAGGATCAGCATGCTCTTTGCAGGGCATGTGTTCAGAGGGTTAGAGTGGGTGGCAGTGGGGCATGTCGGAAATCCCCGTACTTGGTAAGGCTTTGATACCAGCCTGTTCTACAGAGTGATTCCAGGACAGCCAGAGCTACACAGAGAAACCCTGTCCAGGGCAGGGAGGAGGGTGGTTTAGGCTTGCTGAGGTGGCTTTCATTACCTTAGGAGCCCTTGCTGCAGATTATGCTGGCTTGAGCTTCCCAATTCCTGGAAAGCCAGGCACCACTGCCCTCATCACCTACCGGACAAGCGCACTTCACAGGAGGGCAGACAGTGTACTCCACTTGGAGGTGAAAAATAGGTAATAAGCCAGTCAGTGGTGGCACACACCTTCAATCCCAGACCTCAGGAGGCAAAGGCAGGTAGAACTCTGAATCCTGCCTGGTCTACAGAGTGAGTCCCAAGAAGGCCAGGGCTACAACAGAAAAACCAAATAATAGTAGTAGAAAGCAGTTTTTAAACCAGACTCCTGTCTGTTAGCACATGTGTGCTCACACACACACACACAAACGCCCTTCCATGACAAGTATGGCAGGAAAGCTGAAGTCCATCCTATGTCCATCACCTGCTGAGAGAAAAAAGACTGGCTACTCAGGTCACCCCGAGGCCCCGGTCACCTCCAATCACAAAAACAAATGTTTCTCAGTCATGAGTTATTCACCGGGCGGACACTGGCAATGCCTCCGAGTAAAGCCGGTGATAGCAGGGGACAGCCCTCTCCTCCAGCTGCTTGTGGGAGACATTAGCATGTGATGTGTCTGCCCATTGACATGAATTCAGAAATACAGCAAGCAAACTAGTGTGATGGCACATGTCTGGTCCCAGCACAGTACTGGAAGCAGAGGCAGCCTAGAATACGGAGTGAGACAGAACAAAAGGAGGCAGAGGAAACTGCAGAGGGCAATAGAGGAACAATGGAGCAGTGCTTGCTAGCCAGCCAGGCAGTACTTGAGTGGTGTAGCATGCTGGCCTTCTCTGTTAAAAAAAAAAACAGTGCCTGGGAAGAATAGAACATGCCAAAGAGCTGGGAGGTACCCTGTACAGGCACGGGATGTGGGCTAAAGAAAGGACTGCTTGCTCCCAAGTTAGGGTCTAGACAGAGGCTCCTAGGGGTGAGTGGAAAATGGGGTCTGCAAGGTGGACAGGGGTCTCTGAGCAGAAGAATCTAGGATGGCCGGGTGATGGTGCTCCAGGCCTTTAATCCCAGTACTTCCATGGAAGGCAAGGGTCCATGGATCTCTGAGTTCAAGGCCAGCCTGGTCTATAGATCAAGTTCCAGGACAGTCATGGCTAACCACAGAATCTCAGTCTGAAAGAGTCTAGGATGAT